GCACCATATATGGCAGCAACTCTCACCTTAAAAATGCTTTTTTTAGAAAACAATGCTTGTCTGCTTTTTCCTAGGTAAAAGGAGCAGGAGTTTTGCTGCAGTGACCAACAGTAGTTCTTGTATAATACCTTGCATAAAGAAAACTGAATTACATCTGAGATCCTTGTACATAACATTTTACAGCCCTCACTGAGGCTTCTGAAAACATTTTGTTTACACATCATCAAGCATGCCTGGTTTTCTGTGAGATAGTAAGTGCTTACTGCCACTGGAAACCTGGCAGAGTGTATCTAGCCCTGCATCTCCACCCTGCACTGCGAAATGTGTCCCGTACACTTGTATTCATCAAATGTGGGGCATGACCCAGACTCACTTCCTGTAAAAGGACACATCCACAATGCCAGGAAATATCACTGCTACTTTAAGTAGTTACAGTTTTGTAGTTTTCTGCATTCCCTACCACTTTTGTTACATTTACTGCCCAGTAAACAATAAAATCTAAGAAACAAAATTTTCTTAGACTGCTGTCATGAGATCCTTGGAAACACTTGTGCCTTTTAGAAAGAGAACATTTCCAGGAAACTGCCCAGCCTTGTGCCAGCAACAACTGCGTGCATCAGTCATCTTGTTCCACTGAAGAAGTAGATTGCCAGCAGTGCTAGAGTAGCCTTTCCACACTTCTGCTTTGATCTAAGAGGAGAACTTTTGCAATTGGTTCAATCTCTGTGACCCAGCCAGTCCTTGGTGTTTCTTTTACAGCAGCCACCAAGACAACCAGTTTCCTGCTGCAGGAGCAAACCAGCCTCACCTCCACTAGACCATTTCCTGATGTCTGTCAAGTACCCAACAGAGTCACCACAGCTTAACGTCTTCTCCAGCCTGTATGAGAAAGAAAGAATGTTCAATCCCTCTAGATATGTACAAGCACTAGTGTGTGCCCAGAAAAATGCCAGACCCCTCCCAGAACACAGCTGCCAGCTTTCAGAAAAATCACTGGAGTTTGTGAGATGTGCAAAATGGCAAAATGGTGTTGAGCAAGAATTTATACCCGCAAACAAAAATATAAATGTTTGCTTTGCTGCTCATGAATTCACAGTAGAAAGGAGCTCATGTGGAAATTTAATTTGTGTAAAATACTGTTTAAGAAAATCAATCATAAGTGTTTTGAGTTACACAGTGGAATAGAATTGGTGCTTTGTAAAACAATGCAAGGTTTACAAATTTTCCATCACTATAAAAGACAATTTCCCTAATTTTCCCACCATTGTCACATTAGTCGCTGTTCTCAAGTGAACGGGGCGCCTGTAAGCATCATGACAGCAAAAATGTCCCAATTAAACTGAATCTCTGGAGAGATTGAGAGCAGTCCGGAAATTTGCCTGAAATGAAGAGAGTATATTTCTTCTCGTCTCACATCTGCTTAAGTCTTTACAGACTTAAAGAAGAGGAAGGGGCATATTTGCTCCAGATAACTTCCCAGATGAACTGTTAAAAAGCTTTCTCTCTGTGACAACATTAGCTAAAATGAGTAAGTAAAAGCTCCTGACGAACACGACAGGCTTCCGAGTCCACTGATTCCATTTGCTCGTATTCTTCTTCCGATTGTTCCATGTGTCCTGTGGCTGGTGCAGACCACACGTCCAGCCCATGCTGCAGGGAGATGTTATGAAGCACGCAGCAGGCCAGAATGATGTGGCTGGACTTCTCTGGAGAATACTGCAGGGTGCCTTTGGAGCCATCGAGGCAGCAGAACCGGGACCGAATGGTTCTGAAGGTGCGCTCAATGACGTTGTGAGTGGCGGAATGGGCCATGTTGTAGCGGTACTCGGCAGGCGTCTCGGGAATGTGCAGAGGGGTCATCAGCCACGTTCGGAGCAAGAAGGAGCTGTCACCTGTGAGCCGTGGAAAGGAGCAGGACAGGTTACACACCTACAGTTAGCCACAGATTTCAGCCTGGTTTACTGGTACAGCAGATACAGAATAAGTTCTTCCTCTGGATAAAAGAGAAGGCACGGAAGAAGTAACTCTGGTTTACAAATGTGACAAAGTAAAGGCACTTGGTTTTACACAAGAAGATTTTCCACAGAAGAGTTTTAAGAGAATTAATCTACTGCATAAAACAGGGGGAAACAGTTGGACTAGGGCAGCACCTAGAATTAAAAATTGCATAATTCAGCATGAAAAGGTGTAGAATACTGAAAGAAAGCCATTAACAGAATGAATGAGGATTTATACACACAATATCAGACTGTAAACCAGATAGAAGTTAATGTTCTAAGCTTAGAACACTTAAACACAGATTAGAAGTTAATGTTCTAAGCTTCCAAGATAAGGGTAGTCCAAACTGAGTCATAAATCTCAAAGCAATTTGCAAGAAAGCAATTGAAAGTAAACATATCACTCGTGCCCAGAGTAAGGAGACAACATATAATTGACTTTCTACTGAAAACAAGGATGAAAAGCTGACTTACCAAGTAGCCAGCCGTCTTTATGTAGCTCAGTTTCAAACTGGCTTGTGAGGGCTGCCTGCTCTAACACCGTGCAGTCAGGCAGGCTGCCTGGCCAGTGCGTTTCAGCACTAAGGAGGACTCCTCTGGAATCACACACCATGAGGCAGTTCAGGGAATGGAGACCCTTTCGGTTCACATAGGACAGGTCCTCAGCATTTGGCGCTTTGATTGCCACGTGGGTGCAGTCAACCACTCCCAGCACTCCCGGCATTCCTGCCAGCGCATAAAAGTCATCCTTCAGGGTCTGTACAGTAGCTTCATCTTTAGGAAAGTGAATGAACTGTGAGGCTCTTTCCACCAGTGCCTCGGTTACATTGGCAACACAGCGGCTCATCGAGGCTTGGCTAATGCCCATAGCGTCCCCCATGCGAGTCTGGAAGGAGCCAGAGGTATAGAAACCCAATGCAGCAAGGATTTGCGTCTCTGGACTGATGGCCCTGGACCGCTGTGTAGGGCGTGAGAGAGTGGCTCCCAGGAGATCCACCAGGTAGCAAATGAACTGTCGGGGAAAGCCGTACGTGGATACTAGATACTCATCCGTGACATCCTCCAGCTTGAAGCGATCCAAAGTCCGGTGTCCGCGGCCATAGAGCAAGAGGTCGCAGTCAAGAACCGCGATAGGTACGGCCATGGCTGACGGCCAGGGGCGTCCCCTGGGGCTCCCCTCTGACAGGGCTTTCCCAGAGGCTTCACCTGCATAAAGCAAAAGAGGATACTCAGAACAGTTGTTACAGGTGATCTTATCAGACTCCGTTACCATTTTCCTTTCAGTCTGATCATCCAGCAAATCTTTTAATTTTTCTTTTTCTGCTTTTAAATACACGGGCAGCCAGGTGGACTCACCGCGGAGCCGACACCTCTGTGGGGCGATGACAGGAATTTACGTCCCGCGGCGGAGAGGGAGCTGGAGCCGTCCCCAGTCACCCTCGCCGGGGCACGCCAGACACGAGCCGTGGGCAGCCCGGCGGGCGGTCTCGCAGCCCTGGCGGGCGCTGCCGTTGCCGGGCGTCCCGGACCCCACGGGCCGCCTGACCTCCGCCGGAGTCGTCCCAGCCCTTACCGGCCCCGCGGCCGCTCCCAGGCGGTCCCCGCCGGTCCGGCCCCACATTCGCCGCGACAGATTCGCCACAGGCAAGGGGCTACCGGCGGGAGCGGCACCGGGCGCTGCCCCGATTTTTTAGGCCTGGCGACCTCCTGCCTCCCCGGACTGTGGGCTCAGCGCGCCGCGGGCGGGCGGGGAGCGGCGGGCGGCTGCGTGCGGAAAGTGCCGCTGCGGACACTCAGGCACCTCCCTTCTTCCCTCCCTTCCTCCTTCCTTCCTTCCCCCCCCGCCCGCAGCGGATGAAAACAAACAGCGGCGATGGCGACGGCGATGGCGGCAGCGCGGCGCAGCCCGCGGCTCTGAGGGCAGCGGCAGCCCCGGCCCGGCCCCCGCCGCCGGCCACGCATCCCCGCCGGCGCTGACACTCGCGGCGAGACCCCCGAGCCGGGAACGAGGAGGAGGAGGGGCGCCGGCCGGAGCCCCGGAGCGGCTTCGGGGCTTGGAGGCGGCGGTCGCGGCCCCGGGGCCGCGGGGCTCTCCCCGTGCCCGGTCGGGGCGCGGAGGAGGCGCCGGGGCGCGGCGGCGGAGCGGGCCCCGCACGGGATGAGCCGCCGCGCCGCCAGCACTGCCGGCCCCGCGCAGGTACCGCGGCCCCCGCAGGGCAGGGCTGGAGCTCCGCGAGCCTGCGGGAGGCCCTTCCAGGGGAGGGGGCTCTGATGTGCGTCTTAAACCATTGGCTGCGGGTTCGCGTCTCCGTTTTACTTTGCTTCGCTGCTCGTGGGGTTCGGTTCCAGACAGCCGCGTGTCGGCTGCGATTCGTTTTCCTAACGACTGGTGGCTGTCAGTGGAGCCTGGGAAAGATGTGGCCCGCTGTAATCTCAGCAGGTGGTCATTTCAAATCAAAATGCTTCACAGCCTGTTGGAAACGGTGGAATCTGAGACCGCACGCTCCATTTTATGGTCTTGTATAGTCTTCCTATGAGACGCGAGTTTGTGGTATGCTGGGAAAGAGCAGGGGTTTACAGGTGGTCGTATCTTTCTTTTTCCTGCGGGAGGTGTGGCTCTCAGGGCACAGTCAGAGTCGTTCCCGTGGATTCAGTGGGAGCAGAGACATCTTCCATGCCAGTGAATAGGTAGAAAAGGGAATCTTTGGACTAAGCCTACAAACTGCTTACTTACAAATCCCAAAAGTGATATGACTAGGCACATACCAAGGGGGAAAAACATGGCAAATTACTGCCTTAGCTGAAAATTATTTGGCTGTCCAAATAAAGTTTAGAGCATCTCCAAATTATTGCAGGACTGGCCTGACCTGGAGGACCCTTCCTTCTTGTGGCAAGAAATAAGTCTTTCAGATGAGCCAGGCTGTCTGTAGATGTCCAGAAGGATCATACAGGATCACTTTATTTTGCTTAAATGGTATCGTATAATCTTAACATTTCTGAACATGGGTTCAAACAATAGTTGAGCACTGGTGATTGTGTTGGTGATTATAGTGCAGGGTATGTAGAAGCAGATTCTGGTTTAGTCTGTATACTTTGGCTTGACAAACAAACTGAGAGGATGGACCTTTGGACTGATACCATTTTTAGACCTTAGGGAAGTACAGAATGTAACTGTTGGTCAACAGGAATTACTTAATATTGTTTCTAAGTCAGTGGAGCTGGCTGTGCTGGCTTTAGTAAGGTATTTACTAAGCTGTGGAGTTATTGGTTAAAAAGTGAATCTGTTTCCTGATGAGGTGGAAAAATTACCTCTTTATCAGTCAAAACTTGAGCATATAGTGAACTACAGAGCCTTTGATCACATCAGAATGTTTATATTATGTGAAACAGTTTTTCTGCTATTGAATTTATTCTATTCTGCTATAGAATTTAATATTTTCTTTTTAAAAAATCCACAAACTTTAAAGAATGAGAGTGTCACACCTTCAAACTTAGAACTGTTTGCTACTTCTCCCTAGCTTTCTGACTAATCTACTAAGAAGGCAAAATGGAGATTAATTTTAAGTAATTGTAGGATACTGGAGTTTGACTTGCAGGCCCAGTCTTGAAACAGAGCACTGTGTTTATGAAGATCTTTATATAGTTGCTTATTAGTGTGCTCAAAATACCTGCTTGCAGTGAAGCTTCTTGTTCATTGAAGGGAGGACCTGTTCCAGGAGCTCTTAAAACCTTCAAAAACTTCCATGTGCTTCTTGTTTACTGCATGATTCAATGAGGCTTTTCTGAGCTTCTCATAGGACATCCTTGGAGAGTCAATTTGGTCCTGTATTAAAAAACAAGTTCTGGACGAGTGGTATGGGCAAGGAGTGCAGTCTGCCGCGCACAGTCCAGTAACTGGGAACGAAGATCTGGGATGAGAGCTGTCCACAGCCCTCTCCTTACAGCTACACCCACTCTGCTTTCTTCCCTCTTGTCTTTTCAGTTTCACTCTAGCATAAGAACCATGAGTAATTATTTTGCGTTGATGAAGGTCTGGTTGAAAAGAAAGCAAGATAACTTTTAAGTTGTAGCAGCCATGGCTCAGAGAGAAATATAGGAGATGATGGAAGCAGCCTCTATATGCTTTCCCCAGCAGCAATAATAATGCCTGGTGTGTGTCAGGTGCTTCTGCTCCTTTCCTGTTTCTGTAGGTGTCAGAGAGATGCACTGGCTCAATTCCCGTGCATGGAACACGTAGTGTAATGCCGGTGATCCCCGCTGTTGCCATACAGCTGCTGTGTGCCGGGTTACGGGTGTCTGCCGCCCGCGGGGCTGCTCTCGGCTGGGAGCACGGCTGGGAGCACGGAGCGGGGCAGGGAGTACGGCGTGCCTGTCGCTGTAGTTCCTCTCGGCTCTGCCGAGGCATTAAGGGGAGGGCTCTTGCAGTTCCTTGCATCACAACAACGAACAGCGCCATCACCTTATGCTGATGTGTCCTTCTCCTCAGAGAAGGAGGGTATAAATAGCAGTAGAGTGTATAAGGCATAACACCGATGTTAAGCTGTTGGATAAAATCTGTCTCAACCTTGGGAGAAGGAATAAGGATTTAGTCAAGAGAGCCACATGAGGCAGTTCTCCTTTGCTGTTTCTGATGTTTCTGTTCAAGTAAAGTGAAGACAAAGGCATATAAATAAAAGCAACAGTATAAAAACGGCTGTTGAAGGAAGTGGGAGACAAAGCAAAAAGCCATATGGAAAAGATGCTTGCTGCATCACGTGCTGGTGAATATATCAGTTTACTTAAGGATTACCTGGTTGAGGGGAGATCAATCATCTGTATTTTTCTAACCTAGACCAAAGGTTATTTCCCTCTAGTTGTTACTCAGTGTAAAATGAGCCTGTGTTATCCTTGAGTTAAGCATAGGCTGTGCAGTAGCACTTAACAAGGAGCCGTGCTGGCATTGCAACCTACTGGATGTGAGAAGTTGATTGAGTTTGGTGGAATTCAGTTTAAAAAATTTCCTTCCTGTTCAGGTCAGCTGTGGCAGCTAACCTGAAAGTACCAAAGAATTTTTGTAAAAAAAAAGTTTGCTGTAATTCTAGCTACATCTCAACTCTTACCAAGACTGATTCTAAAGGTGAATACTGTTCTAAGCCTTAGAAGGTCTCAGGCAATCACCAGAGGCCCTCCTACAAAAAATGAAATGATTATTGGCTGTCAGATAAGAGCCCTTAGACATTTCAGGAGGTGAGTTCCAAAGTCCCAGTTTTCCCATGAAATTATTTATTCCTTTCCAGGAAACCTTGCCTGATACTTTCTGCTCTACTTTGGACTCTGGTGGGTTAACTGTTGCTGGCATTTGGAGCTTGAGAGGTAACAGTATGAATCTCCAAATGTTTGATGAATGTTACAGGTAGTTTCAGATCTTCCAAGAAGAATCCCAGTTCGCTGCAGCAGGGCAGAGCCATGAGGCTCTCATTTTTTTTGAACCCTCTGGTGGTTGTTTCTCTCCTCTAGAAATATTTGGGTGATCAAACAAATTCCTGTACTGTACATGGAGCCATGCTGATGGTCATCTTTGTTTCCTTTCCTAACAGACCAGTGAGCCTAACACCTTCCATTAGTCCCCAAGTACCTTGAAATAGTTGATATCAGAAGGTTTTTTCAGCCTCAAAAGGCAAATGTGGGTGTTTTGTTTGACAGCTCTCCCACAATATCAGGATATATACTTCCTTGAATCTTTCTGCAGGGGTCACATATCACTTTTCACATTCAAAGGCAGTATGCTTTTGTTTGGTTGGTTTTTTTAGTTTTTAAATGTCAGCATTCTCTTTTCTGAGAAAAACATATTTTTTAATGCAGTATTTTATTGCCTGTATCAGCCAGGTTTGTCAAAGATCTCAGGTCTCCTCAGCCCCTACAGTGCTGTACTTAATTAAGTCAAAATAATAATAACAGGTTGTTCTTGCCTGGGGTTTTGTTTGTTTGCTTGTTTGGGGGGATTTGTGGTTTTTTTGTAGTGGTACACGTGTGTACTAAATGGTTGGGGTTTTTTAATTTTGAGTACTGTGTCAAGCACTTTAAATGCTGCCTTCCTTTTGCACCCCCCACAGTGGAAAGGATCTGTAATCTGTCTAGTGGAGGTAAAGGCAGGGAAAGAAGGGATAACAGTTTCAATAAGGAGGTTAAAATATCCAAGGGATAATTTGAAAACGCATCTGATGTTGAATAATTTTTGTTGTTAGTTCTCAATTTAAATTATAATTTGTAATGAGAACAGTACAGCTTAAGGAGATGTGGTATGAATGTAGCCCAGGAACTTTCAACTATACTCTATGTCCAGCTTTCTTTTTATAGAGTCATTCAGAAAGCAGCCCTGTTCTCTATAAAATGCTCTGTAAATTGCAGTACTCTTATCTTGCAGCCCTTTTTGATTGATGCTCCTAAAGCATTGGGCTTTACTGTCATTAAGTGTGATATTTTAAATAGAAGTATTGCATGTGCATGGTGATGAAAGATTCTCTATTTGCTGTGTGAACAGGGCTATTGGCCCTTTTGCCCTGCAAGCTTTCATTTGCATAAATAGCATACTTGCTGTAAGTTCAGTCTTTGCTTGATGACTGAACACTGAATAACGTTGTGCGCAGAAGCTGCTCGTGCCCCTGACCTCAGCTGGCCGGCATTCCTGCGAGGAGCAGCACGTTCTTTAAATACAGGATGTCTGACAAGCTGCCTCAGGCTGATTAGCTGTCCCAAAACTGCAGCAGGGCTAGGAGTGAATTCATGCTTTGAAGGCTTACACGGAAAAACTACGAGTGCTGCTAATTAAGGCGTTCCTCCCCAGTGGTCTCTATATGATTATTAACTTACATGTGAAGAAACTGAGAGACAGATGAATTGTGATTTATCCCAGGCCATGTGACATGATGGTGACAAAAATAGGATTAGTGCCTTGCCCTGCCCTGCTTCAGACGCTGTGCAAGTTCATTGTGTTCCTAGAAACAATTGTATTTTGAAAAACAAGGCAGTGTCAGTGTGAAAGCTAAGTATGTATTATCAGAGCTTTCAAGAGAAGTGAACAGAGGATTTTGGTCTATTTCTTGACAAAAATTTGTCTTTTCAGTTGGTTGTAGATAAATTTTGTAGCTGTATAATTTTTACTTCATGTACTATTTATTGAAAGTAAATAAGCAGTGTAGCCTGTTGCAGCAATGGTTTATTATACAGATTTCTGCTGAAATACCACTGAAATGCTGTTCTAAGAATTTCAAGCTCAAGATAGCAATTTGGCTTGGTTTTGACCAGTACTGATAGCTGAAGATACATTATTTCTGAAGCAGAGGACCTCCATGTCTGATGGTTAGCTTGGCATAGAATGCAGTCATTGTGGTGTTGGGGTGTTCTGGTTTTTTTTGTTTGTTTGTTTTGCTTTTTTAAATTAAGCTAGCAAAATTGAAGAACTTGTACTGAGTTTTAATTGTGAGCCTTCTTTGTTTTTTTTAAATTCTTTGATATTTGCACTGACCAGATAAACTATCAATGTGCATTTATACCGCACATCACATCCCAAAGCTTTTAGCATGTTTGGATTTTGACAGGTAGAGCACTTTGGTATTTATCATTTCTTTTGAGATGGCCTCTAATGGCAAAAATATTTTGAAATCTAAACAGAAAGCTTGAAGAAGACTTCATTCCCAGACCTGTGCTGTATTTCAGATTGCCATATGCAATGGACACTGATCTCAGTTCCCAAGACAGGAAGGACCTGGACAAGTTCATCAAATTTTTTGCTTTAAAGGTAATTTTTCTCCTTTGGACAAATGCCTCTTCTTCCTTGTTTAAAAAATGCCACAAAACAAATTACATGGTGTGGCTAGAGTAACAAGACTGAGGTTTGGGTTTGTTTTTTTTTTTGTTTTATTTTGTTTTGCTGAAGAAGAACAAAGCAAGAAGGGCTGATGTCAAATTTAAGAGATTCCTGAGAACAACTAGAGAAACATATTTTCCCCTTTTTTCTACCCTCAAATCCTCTTCCATCCTCCAGAAACATCCTGCTTTAAAATCAGCTGTAGGCACTTCACACCTCTGTCAGCTTTGGGTTTCTAGCAGCATGTCTAACCACCAGCTTTTAGGTAGTTTATCTGCTGGACTCCACTCTTTCAGCCTATCTAAATTTTTATATTGCATCCAAAAACAATAATACCAGCATGTTCTTTTGAATGATGTTGATATGTAATTATAAAATTTTGATATGTAATTATAAAATTTGGCCTCACTTCATACATAGGTGCAAGCAGATAATCTGACAATAGCTTTGGTCTAAATAGACAGATTCATTTGTCTTTAGTTTAGTTGTCCAGGCCTCGGATATTTTTGTAAATTTTTCTGAATTTTCTATTAAAAACTGCAAATCCTGATTGCAAAATTGACTTTGTCTCTTAGTCTTGTTACAGAAAAAGGTCAGCCTAAAATGATTTTCTTTCTGAAATACATTTGCCTATTACATGTAATAATTTAAAGTTATTAGAACTGAAGAACAGTGTAGCAAACTACTTCTCTACATCCTGGTCAGCCCTTTCATCTTTTTCACTTGGAGCTTGTGTAGCTCAGGCTCTGAACTGAGGCTCAGAGCTGGTGCTGAGCCCAGAACATCACTAAGTATCCTTTTATTTCTATTCCAGACAGTACAAGTAATTGTCCAGGCCCGACTTGGAGAGAAAATCTGTACCCGCTCATCATCCTCCCCAACAGGTTCTGACTGGGTAAGGTCTTATTTTTTAAAGCCACTCCATAACTCTGTGTGTGTGCTGAGAACACCACGTGATTATTACAGTCTTGTGCAGACAATAATAATTATTCACAGAGTAGGTACTACATGTAGTTATGGTTGTTGGTGATGTTGCGGGGGGTTGGTGGTTGTTGTTCACATGCAGCAAATCACTCTGGACTCTTACTGATGAAGAGTAAGAGAAATAATGCCTCTCAGCAACTCCTGTTAGCTAAGGCACATTTCCAAGATCTGCTTGGGGGTGGGGTGATGAGTTCTTATCTGTCAGAAGTTTGCTACTCTGCAATTCAGGACGTTTTAGTATTTGGCTTTAATAAAATTGAAAAGACTCAAGATACTCTGTGGATGAAGACAGGACTGAAGCGAGGGAAAAGGAGCATATTTTTAATAGCAGGAATAAGAAAAACGTTTGAATTAGCAGCCAAGGGAATCTTTGTAAATATGAAAAGCTTGAACCCAGCTGGGAATTTTCTGTTTCATAAATATTTCAGTGGACACTGACCTAGTATGTTATATATGGGTCTGTGAGCCTGTCTGAAATGTGCCATCACACAGTTTTTCAAAGAAATAAAAAAAATGGAACCATCTCTTTGATTCTGCAGTTCAATTTGGCAATCAAAGATATACCAGAGGTTACTCATGAAGCAAAGAAAGCCCTGGCAGGACAGCTGCCCGCTGTTGGACGGTCTATGTGCGTGGAGATTTCTCTCAAAACCTCAGAGGTGAGAACTGAGTCAAAACAGATGCCCTTTTTTTTGTTTGTGGGGTTTTCTGCCTGCATCTTAAGTCAACTGTTGTTGTGGTGTGAAGCCCACAGCTGCCGCCTTTGGTCCAGCAGCAAGGGCCAGATGAGCCCAGGCACATTCCATCCGGTAATATTGGGATCTTATTCCAATACACTATGAGAGCTCCTGCCCTTTAATCCAAGACAATGTGAGAATATCTAAATTTTATTAAGTTAAGTGATATGCTAATGAAATGAAATGTATTGTTTAACAGAAGCAATTCACTGCAAAAATCTGAGGCCAAACACACAAATGACGCAGCAGAAAAATCTAAATTTTTTAAGAAAATTAAATTCTTAAATTTTAAGAAACTAATTTCTTAGCCCATGAAGAACTTAGGCATTCTGAAGAAGGTATTCCCTCAGGTGATATAATTGTGCAGGGACACTTCCAGTGCACCTTTTTCTATCATTGCATCACAAGAAAGTGCAAGCCAGGAGACAAACCATTGAGAGGTGTGGCCACTGCTGATCACTAATGAGATTTGAACAATCTGTGTTCTGAAATGAGCCTTTGTTTGCCATCTTTTCTCTGATCCAGGGGGACTCCATGGAGCTGGAAATTTGGTGTCTGGAAATGAATGAAAAGTAAGTGCATTCTTTGTGTTTGTAGTTCTTAGCTGATGCAATGGGCACATGTGGTTAATCTATGGTGATCCATGAGCACATACTGGCTGTGTGGCCAGGGGCACTCCAGAGGGAACTCTTCTCTTTGTCTCGAGCAGCAGTCAATCTCTTTAAACACCAGTGTCAAGAATGAAAACTAGTAATTTAATTCCTTCTTCATTCTTCCATTACAACTAGTAGGTTTCCTCAGATAAAAGAATTCATAGTCTCAGTAATGACAAATGGTTTTCATATTGTAAAGGTGTCTCTGTTTAGTAGAAGGCTGCATGGCATTTTTCAGCAATTTCTTCTACAGCAGGTAACTAGGTTGAAGCAGGATGCTTAGCTGGTTGGTCAGTACAGGTAGCCACACTGGGGCTTTATTTATCATTTTGGCAATAAAATTAAATAACTGGCCCAGAGTAATTTTTATATTAAATAAAATAAACAAAAGCAATTGCAAACCAAAAACAAACAAGAGCCCCAAATCCAGGCAGCTTAGTTGCGGACAAAAGACTAATTTTTTTCCTTTGTGTTCTCTAGGTGTGACAAAGAAATCAAAGTTTCATACACTGTATACAACAGACTTTCTCTATTGCTGAAGTCTTTGCTTGCTATAACCAGAGTAACTCCAGCCTACAGACTCTCTAGGAAACAAGGCCATGAATATGTAATATTGTACAGGTAAAGCAAAAATTTCCCATTTGAAATGCAAACAGAAGAGACTAGACTTGCACAGTGTAGCTGCAAATGTAGTTAAAAAGGGATGAGCAATAATAAAATCAAATTAGTTTTATAGAAGTACTACTGATCAGTGACAGAAGAAGACTTTGGTCTGTGTATCACCTTTACTTGAGCCATTGAAAGAAAAGCTAAGCATAGGCTGTGAAGTGTTTGCCTGCCATGTTAGGAAGAGTAAAAAAATTCTACATGCAATCCCTTAAATTGCTTACTAGCACCCAGTTGTTTGGTGTCTGGCTTGTGTTTGATAAATGGCTCTCTACATTGCACATAACTACAATGTGTACTTTTGCAGCATAGATTCAGACTCTCTCCTGTTACTCCATTTTAAAGATGCATCCTCAATTTCACATCCTGTAGTTTTTGCAGTTTACTCATCCAAGTACTGGGTTCAGCTCTGTTTAGCCTGTGAGTCTGACTGGTTTGTAGTTCACAGTTGTCTTCCAGACTCTGTTTTTGGCTGTTAGAAAAGTCTTTGACATGTTTGCATAGCTAATTTATATGATTGTAAATTTCAGGTTTGTTATCGTTTGCACAGCTGAAAACTCAAATTCCAGCCATTTTTTGCCTCCATTGCTGACTTGGCACGTACTTAAGAGCAACTCTTACAGCACAGTTAACCTCTTATGTTGTGTGATGAGCATCAGCTTTTAGACTCAGACCTATCTGTGAAGTTTGTATCACATCACATTTTTGCTCTGAACTGTAGACTTAACCACAAAGGCTTAAAAAAATTAAAGAGAAATTCCTGATTGGACTACCATTTTCTCTTTCTCCTTCATTTTACATGACCTGTTCTTCTTCTGGAGCAGCTGTAAGGTTTTTTGAGATGGGCATTCCAGCCATTTATTTTGGGCTTTTTTTTCCTGAAGAGTAGTTCCAGCCTTCCAACTCCCAAAATTAAGTAAGAAATAAGGATATGTATAGCATTATGTCCCAGCTGGATCTAACAGCTTTTCTTTTTCCTTTTCCTTCAGGATATATTTTGGTGAAGTCCAGCTGAGTGGCTTGGGAGAAGGTAAGATTAGACAACACACAAACAAGAGCAGAACTGTGTTTCATTCTGACTGCCTTTTGGTTACTATTCCCCAGTGTCATAGGGAAATTCAGTCTGAGGCTTACATATGCTTTTTGTCTGGCTCTGCCAGTGCAGCCTTGTGTCACAAGGTGACAAGTATAATGGTAATACTTGGACAAAGTCTCGGGTGACTGCCATTTTAACTCTAGTGATACAGAACTGAAATAAGAATACAGAATTATGTTGATAAGGGGCAGGACTGGTAAAGGAGATCATGATCTACTGAGGAACAAGAAGCACTTCAGAACAATATTTTAGACCAAGAAGCCACGAAGCAACATCAGAAGTCTTGCAAGTGAAGCCTACCAGCAAGGCAACCTAGTGCACCTGTTTTGTTATGGGTTCTATGTGTGTTTTTGGGATTCACATTGCAAGAGATAATGGTAACACTACTGAAATAAGATAATGTAAACTCAGAATAAAAAAGTGTGGCACATAAATAATCAGTGAAACTGAGAATTATTCCTTAACTTTACAGGTTTCCAGACAGTCCGTGTTGGGACAGTGGGTACCCCAGTGGGCACCATCACTTTGTCGTGTGCCTACAGAATCAACCTTGCTTTCATGTCAACCAGGTGAGAAAATGTGATCATGCCAGAAACTGTTTTACAATAATTTACTCTTAAACCCCTCATGTTCTGAGCCCCCAAATCTTTCCCTTCTGCTTATCCTTTCCTGCTGAGATTCTCTTTCATGAGGAACGCTCTCTCTCTTGCTTAAGCTTGCAGCAAGGGGAGTATTTGGGTAGCCCTGAGCAAGGCTCTAGAACTCCAAATTGTTGATGCATGCCTGGAGTCACAGGACTAAATTGTAAAGATGCTCTGATCCCATTAATAGACACAAGGGTTTTCTGTGAGGGCACCATGAATTGGAAAGAGTAGAGAGAAAAAGCCAGTAACACCATTGCTTGTTGCCTTGCAGACAGTTTGAGAGGACCCCTCCTATCATGGGGATTATAATTGATCACTTTGTGGACCGTCCCTATCCCAGCTCTTCACCCATGCATCCCTGCAATTACAGGTGAGAAAATACTGAGTTGAGGTCATGGGCCATGGTAAAGGCATCCATTATGCCCAAATACAGAGCCTTTTCCATTCTTTGTTGACAGCATGGGAAGGGACACTGGAGAATTAGGGTCAGTAAATTGGCACAATTAAACATGTGATGAAGGGTTACATTTTTCTCCTCACATTGAGATGGCTGAGTGCAGCAAGCCCCAGTATTTTCCCAAATTCTTCACAGAAGCACTTGGACACAAAGGATGTTTAATCTTGGCTGCATTCAGGAATTTGAAAGTGTAATGGTTAATCCTGATGCAGAACTACATGTCTAGATGCTGCATCCCTGGATATTTCCACTGGGGGAAGATCAGTTTAATTTCTCTTTGGAGATGAGAGGTTTGCCTTCCCTAAAATGAATGTGAGGGCATTCAGGTTTGGACCAGTGATGTTGTTTGACAATGGTTGTGTAAACACCAAAGCCAGCAGCACTAGCTTGTATAAGAAAAGCATTAGTTAGATACACCTCTTATTTTACATGGGGTAAAAGACAAACATCCGAGGAAAACTCATGTTTTCCCACTTTGTTTTCCTCAGATCTGGCAAGCAGATGAGAGTCCTTCATAATTCTCCTTTCAACTACACCCAAATACTCTCAACCTCCCTGCAGTGTTTGTCCCAGTGTGTTTTACTATTTGTTTGTTTTAAGGAATATTTCTGGTTAGAAAACTTGTTTTTTCTTGCTGCTTTAGAGCTGGTGAGGACAATGGTGCAGTATACCCCTCAGTAGAAGATTCCCAAGAAGTGTGTACCACATCTTTTTCCACCTCTCCTCCATCTCAGGTAAGAGAAATCAGGCTCTTTTTACTTCTAGATAGAACAGTTGCTGTAAGAATAGTTTGCATATTCCTACATCAGCTGTTGTGCAAACAGAAATCCTCCTGCTGCTAATTAAAATTTAATGTGTGGGTTATTTATGTCATTACACTCTTGAGTAAAATCTATTGAAATTAGATACTAATTTCAACAAAATTCCAAGGGCCTAGAAAGACTGAATTAAAAGAGCCTGTTCCTGTAGCTGGGTTGAGCTGTGCTTGAAGAGGACAGCAGTGTGCTTACACATTTACACATTTGCATACCAATACTGCAAGAGGAGGAATTCAAGACATTGATGCCAGGCAGCTTAAGTAGGAGTAAGAGACTGACATAGAGAAAGAGACACTGAAATACCAGGGAAATGCTAGAGAAAGACAGAAAAAAGACAAAAGCTGTATTTATTGGACCATTAAAATTTGTTGGGGCAGCAGGAATAAGTATTGGCAAAAAAATTGCCCATGCAAATTGCATTTAAGTTTCAATTTTAAAACAAATAACTAATGGTTTCCTTTTGAGTATAAAACCCCAGAAACTCCCACGTTCTTTTACTGTCTTATGTATGTTATTCCACAGTTCTGTATTTTGAAGATGGCCAGAGTTGCAGTTGTCTATTGCTTTAAATATTCAGGATTGCCCTGCCTTGTTGTCCAGCCAAGCAGATGGCTCTACTGACCTTTAAAGACAATCCAAAGACTCTAAATCTCTTTCACTGTCAATGTGAAACATAGAATGAAGTATAATTGGAATGCTGTTCCAAACGGAAAGAATTTGCTATGGGTCTTTCTGCTGCTTCAGAGGAATTAATATGCCTGGTTTAGCAGAATGTATTCTCCTTTATGAACAAGCTAGAAATGAGCTTCTCTTAGGAAGTATTTCTGTGCCAAAGTGATTTCAGGCGACCAGGCATCAGGCAATGTTGAACTAATTAGTCAGTACTCACGGTAAGTCTGATGGAATAGACCTTTTCTTATTCTGCAATACAGAGTTCAGGAAATTAGTTTGTGGCTGAGTTGTGTCCTGCGTTTTCCTAAAGTGGGGTAAATACAAAAGATTTCATAAGGAAATTTCCACTGGCTTGCTTGTGCCAGTGTTACTTAACAGTAGTAGTGTATGTAACTATATTGCAGTTGACATTTCTGCAGGCGTCATGAAGCTTTACTGTCACTGAGGGGGGAAAAGCTTTATGAAACCACATGAACCTTGAGGATTCACATAAAGTATGAGCCTACATTCTTGCTTTTTCTGTGGCTCATGGTTGCCATATGCTGTGCCCTTATTTGTAAAGCAACTGCCAGTCTTTGTTACCACAGTTAGAATTGTAAGGTTGCCTTGGCTGAGTGGACTTTAAATTAAAAGGGAAAGAAGTAGTTTTTTTTTTTCTCCAGCTTTCTACATGTCCTGTGCAGGTTAATGACTAGGAAAATACTAGGAACTGTGTGATTTTGTAGGCAAATATTATGAATCTCTGCCTGCCTTCTCAGTAAAAGTGAGGCCTAACCTCTGTGATACAAGAAAATAGTTGTCACCTTTTTTGTGAGCTTGTATGTCTGCATATGTGTGTTGTGAAGCAGCCCAAAATTCAGGAGAGTCTGGCCATGGGTAATACCCAGAAATGAAAGCTGAAGCTTTCCTCAAACTGAAAACTATTGCTAGGAAAATGACTGTGGGAGGAGGTATGGGACTGAACGAGGTTTGGTTTGCCCTTTGTGCATTAGCACCCTCTGTGAGACTGTACTCTGGAGTTTTGCTCCTGTTGATGGAGTTCCCGCTTCACATCAGTGTCTTTGAATTGCACTGTAATCTGGGTCACCTTATTCTCAGGGTGCAGCATGGACCTGCCAAAATAGGACCCCTCAGAAAGCTGGAGGATAGAAAGTATGGATGGATGGAGAGTGCTGAAATACAAGTAATTTGTAAATTTAAAAAAAAAAAAAGAAGTACTTGACTTTTTCTGCATCTGCTCAGCTTTCTTGCTAATTCGCTGGTACCAATTATAATTAACTGTGGAACAGAGTCTCTGGCAGTTACTTTCTGTCAGGGTTTACTAGAGTCTAAAATATTACCTGTGTTCAGTGGTTCACTCAGATTGAAAAACAGTCAATTCTTTACAAAATGAATGTGCTTCTGGCAATACTGAGATTTCTGCTCTCTGTGTAGGTGTGGCTGCTGCAGCCAAAACCTCTTCACTAGCATTCAGTTCATCCAACTCTTCATAATTCCTCTCTGAAGTCCTTCTCTCTCTCTTTCTCTCTCCCCCCTCATTCTCTCTTTTCCTTGTTTCCTCTGTTTGTCTGTGTCTATGCACAGTGTGTTTTTACTGTCACAAAGGCACATTTTCAGACCCCTCCTCCTGTGGTGACGGACACCTTGAAGGTCCCAGTGATGGGGCTGGCCTTTTCCCATCAAGTGAGTTGTCAATAGAATATGCTGTACATGGTCAGAATAGAAGTTCCGGCAGGACAAAACGAATACAGGAAAATACAAATTTGACAATGTGGAGTGTTTGTTGTGCATGGGAAAGACTGGTGAGCCCACAATGAGCCAGACACTTTACTGAGACTGGCTTCTTAAATGCCTTTGCAGATGAAGGTCTCCTAAAGACAGGACAAGCACCCCTAAAAACACAACAGCTGTCAAGGATTGTTAGTGAAAGACACTAGTAAGGCACAAGTTCTGAGTGTTAACAGCCAATGTCCATAGAACCTTTATAGTCATTAGAGCTCCACTCAGCTGAACTAGCCTCATGTGAATCAAAGTGCTGTTCCTCATTTTGATACTTGTAAAGGACATCAGCTTTGGAGCTGCTGGAGCTCACACTGAGCTCTGGAAGAAATACTTATCTTGAGGTCAGGCAAGTCTAAACAGGAAAGTTGTATCTAACCTGACTGGGTAGATTTCTGCCTGGGATGTATAAGGAATTTCTCCTGGGTTTCACTGCTTCCAACACTTAATTCCTAGAGCAATCTCACAAGGGTTAGCTTCCCAGTTCTCTTTACTGGGCACATTTATGGGACCATGTATTCTTTCACTGAACAGGTGACCTATTTGAACAGGTCTGCAAGATGAGCTGTTTTAATTTGCAATGGAAGTAGGTTCAAACAGTTGATAATGAAGTTTTTTTGGGATTAAAAAAATACTAAATATTAACTCTTCAGTAAGTTTACGATGGCATTCATGTAACCCACTACACCAGTATTCAAAGTAGGCCTGTAGAGCAGAGCTTCCCTGAGACTGGATGTCAGCCATACCTTGCACAGCCTCCTCCTACATGTGTAGGAGGCCAATCTTGTTTTCCTGTCAAGGCTCAGACTTAGTCCCCTGGACTACTGTCAAGTAGTCCTCATAGCAATAAGAATTTTTTAGAATAACCTACATTATTGATTTCAGTGAAAATCTAGCATCCTTCTGCCAGCCTGAAATGCTGTGCCTCTGACTTTTCCTGTTCCTTCTTCAGTGACTGGTGATTATTCAGGCTGTGGGGCATTCCCCTTCCCTTTCCTCTCTCCTCTCCCTTTGCCCTTGTTTTTTCTCTTCTTCCCTAGCTTTCCAGCTCACGTCTTTCCTATCAGCCTGCTGCCCTGGGAGTTGGATCAGCTGACATGGGGTATCCTGTACTCTTTGCTGGTGGCTTGAATGCTGCACACCCTCACCAGGTACTTGTAGAGAGTAGAACCAGCATGGCTGGTATTGCAGCCATTTGTGTCACTTGTACACCTGAGAGAGGCGTTGAAACTAGTGCTTGCATTGGTGTCCTGTCTGTCAGGAATGGAAAGAATATAAAGTAAACACAGAGAAAGCACAACTTCCACAGGAGTTGGGAATTGGCTCCTCAGCATCCCTGACTTTACTGGGGTATGGGGTCATGTGGAAAAACTATGCCAAGAGAGCAGACACCAGACCTGTTTGCCTGGTCTGCTTGTCACTGATTCCAAACGTTGCCTGTTTTACAGAGCTGCTGCCCCTGTAGCTGTCCAAGTGCAGTTCTGTAGGCTAGACATAGGATACACTGGCAGTTCATACTGACATAGTTGTATTGGTTCATCAGAAAAATAAGCCAAGTTGACAGAAGTCTTTTTCTGCTTGTGATATTGATGTTGCACCAGTTTTGCTGACACAAATGTTAATAAAATAAAAACATTTCAGTTGGAGTGGTCTTACAGTGAGCATCTAATCCAACATCCAGTTCAGGGCTGGCCAAGTTAAAGCCTGGTATTAAGGCAATTGTCCAAATGCCTCTTAAAACTGGCAGCTTGGGGCATTGACCACCTCTCTAGGAACTGTTCCAGTTTTTAACCACCCTCTCTCCAAAGAAATGCTTTCTAATGTCCAGCCTCCCCTGGTGCAGCTTCAAACCACTCCCATGCGTCTTATCACTGGATCCCAGGGAGAAGAGAGCAGCACCTCCTTCTCCACTTCCCCTTCTCTTGAAGCTGTAGGAGCCATGGGCTTGTAGCAAGGGGATGTAAGGTTTTTTTCCTCCATTCCTCCCCATGAAGCAGAGGACTTACAGCCAGAAAACTCTGCAGTGTAAAACAGGCCTGAAATGGACATTAGAGTAGAAAGGGAGTAAAAAGTAAGTTTGTATTGTGATAATACACTCCTACATGACATCTCTCTCAGGCTTATAGGGGCTAGAGTCCAATCATATGCCAAAACCCCCACAACTTATGCCCAGTATAATGGAAATCTACTCTTTATTGCACTGTGGTTTTGGTTTGATTTTGAGATTTCTTAACTTGACTGTTTCTTTCTATCTCAGTTGATTGGTCCAGGCAAAGAAGGGGGAGTTCCCCCAGTTCCTAGCCAGCCAGCACATGGCACTCAAGCTGACCAAGAGAGGATGTGCACCCCACTGGAGGGAGTCCATTACTCAGCAGCTACTCCTTCTAGCAGGTGGGTTGGTTTTAGATGATCCACCACTTCTGCTAACCCACTTATAAGCCTGTTAAGATAAAACTTTTTGTTTGCCCTTTTTATTTATTGTTTGTAGCATAACTATTGTCTTGTCATTCCTCAAATCAACTTGCAGATTTCTCTGATTGGGGCTTTTTCAGCCTTACTCCAAACAATGATCTTGCCCATCTATTTAAACCTCCCAGTCTATGTAATATTCTTCTTCTATGTAATATATCTTCTTCTATGTCAACTTTATTATCGATTTTATAATTTTTTTCAATCTTTCTGCTGCTTTTGCTTATTGTAAAACAAGATGCATTAAGTTCAAAAATGAGTCTTAAATTCTCTAGACTTAATGTGCATTGTTACCAAAGCCAGTTGTAGTTACCATAAATCTGTTCACCATTTTAGTAAGAAACTTTAGGCACAAAGTTATTTAAAAGGAAACAATGCAACCTCAAACTGTCCTAAATCAACTCCCTCACATATAATTAAATCCTTCTGTTTTTTTGATCACTATATTTATTTCTTGAGAAATCTCTCTTGGGGTCACATAGTTGTGAGTCACAGAGAACTCTGGGGAAACCAAAACTCACTTTCCTGGGTATACTTGAATGGTAATCCTCTTCAGTCCTTTCTGGGTAATCCTCTTTCCATGGGACAAAACTATTTTTTTTTGTTTTAAAGTTCTGAATACCTGTGGTAGGAAAAAACCCAAAACAATAGGTCATGGAAGTACCTAATAGCTATGGAGTGAATTAATCATACTGGGAGTGGCTGTTGTCATGTACCAGATCTGCTGCATTTGTGAACTGAGTGACAGATATAATGGGAGATCTCTCACCTCCTGAGAGATCTGTGAGTACCATGTTACTGAAAAATAGTAGTAATGAACAGGAATTGCTGTGAACACACACAAGTTAAAAGCCCATTTCCCAGAAGAAAAGCCTATTTCAGCAACTTTATATTCAACTAAATAGTTTTTGTCCAGCTTTAAACAAAAAAAACCTAATTCCACAAGTGTCCACTTTCCTTTTGTGCTCCTGACTGAGGAGGAAGGTATGATACGAGGACAGATTTCTGTTGTCCTTCTTCCAATACTAGGAGTAAACCAAGAAAAATGAAGGAGTCTCATAAAAAACCTTATTTATCTGCCCTGGGTCAGAAGGCACTAATTATGTATTTTCCTCCCCCAGTGAGGACACAGAAACAGTATCCAACAGCAGTGAAGGAAAGTGTGGCTCCCCACACGACCTTTTGGAGACCATCTTTATCCGGAAGGTGGGAGCTTTTGTCAACAAACCCATTAACCAGGTAATAGGCAGTAGATCTTCTCAGAGAACACCATAATACCTTTCTTTTCCTGTCTGTTCATACATAGAGGAGCAAAAAGCACCCCAATGCCAGGGCAACCTCAGAGACTCAGAGAGTGCATATTTCTGCCTGCTGCATTTCCCTACAAGTTGTAGTTTTGCCAAGGTGTATTTTGTTTTTCATAAAATCCTTTTGGGATGTGACAGCCATTGATTTGCCAGCACCCTATTTGAGAATAGAAGACTTGGTACTCCACTTGGATCTCAGCAATGATCTGCAAGTACCACAGATCCATAAACTAGGAAAGCTGATAGCAAGCCTCCTTTCCTTGAAGGAACATGCAGTAGACCAGTTCATCACTAGAAGCAAGCATTTAAGTTCAGCTAGGGCAGCTTAGAGATTTGCTTGGCTCCTAGGGCTGCAGTTGTAGGCCTTTTGGATGAAGGAATGAGAATTGTTTCAATTTGTAGCAGTTCATTAATCCTTTCCTATATTATACAAGATGTGTATAGAAGCAATCCCATCTCAAGATATGTATCTGCATTAGGTCAACAGAGTATCATCTTTGGATTTCATGCCTTTTAAATGAGGTTGTCAGCCTCCTGCCTAACTGCTGACGTGATTTTGGGCCGTTCTTAGCTGGCCTGACAAAGACATTCAATATCCTTTTCATGCCTGGTAAGCAGAGCATCTTAGTGAAATTCTGTTTGCTAAATCTCCTCAGGTGACCATGGCCAACTTAGACATTCCTTTTGCCATGTTTGCTCCCAAGAATGTTGAGCTGGAAGATAACGACCCCATGGTAAGACTCTTCCAGAGGTATATGTGCCTTCTCAGCATCCCTTATGCAAACATCCATGCTATTCTCTGCCTTGAATACACTTTGGTTTTGGACAAAATAACTAGCTATTCCGATTTGTTTGCTTTCAAGAAGTCTCCTGTGTTGAATCTTGGGCTCTGTAGACATGCAAATAACAGCATGTGTTTGTTGCCCCTGCTCTAGTTAATGTTAATTGTCCAACCTAACTGCCCCCACACTGCCAAAGCACACACAGACATGACTGTAAGATCACTACTCACCATCTTTGATTTCTTGGGCAGGTCAATCCTCCTGAATCCCCAGAAACGGAATCTCCTCTACATGGCAGCTTACACTCAGAGGGCTCCAGTGGCAGCAGCACAGGGAACACCCATGATGACTTTGTTATGGTCGACTTTGTAAGTGCCCCCATCAGAGCTCTTACACCTGCACCTTAGGTGGGCTTCATGTTCTGGTGTGATGGCAAATGATCTCAGAGTATTTTCAGTGGGAGTGGTAAAGACACATCATTCACAGTACCATACTCTAGGGCGTGACAGTCCCAGAACTGCCAAGACACTGGTACCAGGCATCATCAGCTACAAATTAAATACCATTTCAGTTCTCTACTAACATCTGGGCTTGGCATCCTCTCTCTTAGCACCTAGAGGAGCTAGATTCCAAAGATATGTTCTCTTCCAACTGCTCAAGTGCTATTGTGATATCAAGTGATATTGGCTGTTCTTCAGTTATTTAATATGCATTACTGCAGCAACAGTTATAATGCCGAGATGTTTACTGATAGCAGGTAACAACTTTACCTGAGATTGTAACAAAAGGGAAGCCAGTGACTCTGGGAATTAACAGCAGTGTCTTCAATTGTAGAAACCAGCATTTTCAAAAGATGACATTCTTCCAATGGACCTGGGGACATTTTACCGTGAATTTCAGAACCCCCCTCAACTCAGCAGCCTCTCCATTGACATTGGAGCACAGTCCATGGCAGAGGATTTGGTATGGAATCCTGAAATTTCTGTATGTGGAAATCATATGTACTTTATAATGCTCTCCCTATTCCTAGTTTGAAAAAAGTATCTTCATAGAATTGTAGAATAGTTTGGGTTGGAAGGAACCAAGGTCATCTAGTCCAACCCCTCTGCAATGAGCAGGGATATGTTCAACTAAATCAGGTTGCTCAGCCCCATCTAACCTGGCCATGTTTATTTCCATGGATGGGGCATCCACCACTTCTCTGGGCAGCCTGTTATAATTTTTCACCAGCTTCATTAAAAAATTCTCTCTTATCTAGTGTGAATCTACTCTCTTTCAATTTAAAATCATTGTCCCTTGTCCTATTACAACAGCCCCTGCTAAAAAGTCTGTTCCCATTATTCTTAAAAGTCTCCTTTTAGTACTGAAAAGCCAAAACAAGGTCTCCTCAGAGCATTCTCATCTTCAGGTTGAATCACTACAAGTCTCTCAGCCTGTCTTAACAGGAGAGGTGCTCCAGCTCTCTGATAACTTTTATGGCCCTCCTCTGGACCCACTCTAGCAGGCCCCATGTCTTTCCTACACTTTTCAGAAGAGAGAGTTTTTTTTCCTATACTTTTCAGAAGGGAGTCCATCACTAATATTTTCCAAATAAATGCAGATTTGTTTCTGGTACACCTGAGCCTCTGAAACCAGTGTGTTTGTCTTGAAGCTGAAGACTGCTGCAGCATGCTTGCTCTGGGTCACTGAAACCCCCCAAACTAATCCTGCCTCTGGGTTGTCTCACTTGGTGGCAAACCAGGCCTGACTTTGCAGCCTGAGCAGAGTTGGAGTTCTGGTGTGGCTGGTGAGTCACATCTGGGTGAGCACTCTCTTAGGCTCTCTGGCATTGTGCCACACTGTGGAGAAAAATGAAAACCAGAGAGCAGCAAGTGACTTGATGAAGGCAATGATTTGAGTGGGTTATTGTGCTGCAGCTGGTGGGGATTACACAAGGTGAGGCCCCAGTGCACCTCCAGTTCCTGCAGAACAAACAGGCTCTGGGCAGAGTGCCCTGCTCAGGGTAATTTCCTGGATGCTGCCAGAGGGCTCCTGCTTTTGTGCACGTAGAAAGGTGAGCCCAGAGCATTGGTGAGGGATTGCATGACTGAGAAACAGACTTATTTCCTAGTGTGTTTAAAATTTCCTTCTGTCTGCTGTGAATGAACCCTGATCTACATTTTTCCTTACCTTCCAGGACTCATTACCAGAGAAGCTGGCAGTCCATGAGAAAAATGTCAAAGAATTTGATGCTTTTGTGGAAACCTTGCAGTGAAGCTGTTTCCCAGTTCTGATGCAGCAATTCTTCCTCCTCAAGGCATTCTGGAGAGGACATCAACAAATATCTCTATCGCCCCTGCTCTGCCTTTTGTTCACATTGACTAGTTCCCTCCATCAAGTGAGCTTTCTTTTCTCTCTTCAATGACAGATACGGCTCATCTGCTGATTCTCCTCAACTTTTCCACCACATAGTTCTGGACCGCTTTTCCTGCTCACAGTCAGTTTTAAGACTTCAGTAGGGACACAGGAAGTCAAACCCCAGTGTATGGAAACTTACTTTCTCTTCAGTCTGTGTTCTGTATGGAGGGGCGTTGTGGAAAGTTGCCATATGCTTCCTCCAAGGGTCCTATGGTGCAAGTTTCCTAGGTAGAGCTTCTTGCTAACAGACTTTTTCCTGCAGTCTCTGATCCTGTTAGAGCATAGAAAGCTTTGGCTTATTTCCAGGGTCTGTGAGTTCAGCAAATTCAACTGTTTGAAGTCCATTCCACAGAACTGGGCATTTCATCCTGACTTCAGAGTGCGTGCTTGGAGCACAGGGAGAGACGTCAGCTTTGGGACCTGCATAATCCAAGTTACCTTTGTTTTCCTGCTTCTAAGGAATTGGGTCTCTACACTGTGCAAGGCCCTCTGTTAGGTGGCTGATAGGCAGGAATGAAACTACAGGAATGCTTTCCACATTTCCTTCCCGAGTGCACTGACACTCGGCCATGCTGAGTTTAACAGTGTTGACTGTTGGCAAGCCTGCACGTAGCAGCTGTGATGATGCTGAATTCATAGTCTCTAGTTTTGAAACATAACTGTAAATACTAGGAATCCTATTTCTTTAGGGTTATGTAACTAGGAGTCTTAGTCCAAGATTTTTTCCTCTAATCCTTGCAAACCTTCCTGCTTTATGGTTAATAGATGATCTTAAGAATTAAAAAATATTTATTGCTTTTAAAGAAACCTATATTTAAAAGATGTTCTGTTTTCATGTTATAGTGCGGGTCATTCTGTCCTGATCACTGCAGAGAGCAAGTGTGCCATGGAACCCTAGCCAGTGAGGCTAGTCTCTCTTTCCAAGAAAATATCAAAGATATTTATTTTCTAAGACAGACTTGATTAATATTATACTCTGTTTGGGGGACTGTGTGTCCATTACATCCAGCCAGGGCTCACTGATAGAATGAAATGCACACGTCAGTGGAATGGAGTGGCAGGGACTTGGTAAAAAGCTGTCTCCTGATAGGCATGGATGAATTTGTAGTGTTCTTTTGCCATTCAGAAGGCAGCTTCTTTAAAGAAGCACACTTTTTTGGGAAGCTTATGGTACTTTTTAATCAGCTGGCTTTCGAGTAGCTGAAATTTTATTTTTGTAATAATCCAGCCACTGACAGTGTGACTGGCTGGAATTGCTCTTTGGGTGATTTGGCTGTTGCATGTCTTCTGCCTCATGTAAGGATGGGAGGAGAAACAGTGACACTAAACAGAAACTTGGATAAGGTGGGGTTTCTTGTGGTTCTCTCTCTTCCTGCCCCGTGTAACTAGAGTGTGCAACTGCAAGACCCCTTACTGTCCAAAACCACTTCTTTTCCCCCTAGTTTCTTTTAAGTGGAGTTGTGTTGCTTGAGCACTGAGAAACCATCTTAATTTCCTCAGAGTGGCTGAGTAACCAGCCTTCTAGTTGGTGCAATGTGGCAGCTTCAGCTTAGCTGCATTCTTCATTGGAAGAGATTGCCTGCAGCTGATGAGGGAACCCCAGCTCCACTCTGGGACACTATTTCTGTGTCACTGCTAGAGCAAGGAGCCAAATTCAGAGCAGCTTACTATAAGGCCAGAGCAAAGCAATGCTTTGAAGTTTATGAGTATTTTTGTCGAGAGATGTGTTTGGTGGGAGGCCTTGTAAGTTCTAAAACTCCAGGTAAGAGCTTCATTGAAGGAAAATTACCCACCAGAACCTTTTTATTTTACTCAACTGATTCAACTTCTTAGCAACCTCACATGGAAATTGCTTTGTCCATGCAAAGTAAGATGCAGAAACATTTAAGAAAGGTTCCAAGATGAAACAGTTTGTAACAGGACTTCAGTTACACAGGCTGTAACAAATACTTGATACCCATCCAAAAGCCACCTTGTTTCACAGGTGGAAAGGGTCACAGAAGGGTGCTGGAACAAGGAATTAAATGGATCAACCTGTGCTCAGGAAGTTGGTCTGCCACTTTGTAGGAAGTAGTTCATAGGTGGTTGTCAACTTTAGTCTCTGAAGTGATACAATCTGGGCTGCAGAGCAGCAGAGATGAGGCAAAGGGCTGGTTCACACCATATGAATAGAGAACAGTTGAGGTTGAAGTTCATCTAGCCAGCACTCCTGCTGTGCTCTTCTGCTGACAAGCTGTGGAGCTGGCAGGGAGCACTGCCATTCTTGTTAACCCCACCCAGGAGGTCAGGGCTTGTACTTGTGCTCCTTCATTGTTGGAGTTCCTAACATGGCTACAGCTCTCACATCTCATAAGGCAAAATGGCATTGTGGCACATATTCTTCTCTTCAAAAGGCTGGAAAATTGCCTATATAAGCTGCTAGTGTTGAGCTGGATGGCCACAGCAATAAGAGAGTCTCCAGGGCTGAGTTACCTGCCTCTTCTCTGGAGTGTCTTCAGTTTTAACACACAGTTGCTACATCTAGGCTCTGAGTTCCCTGACCACTGCACAAATGCTCTGCTTCCGTAAAGACCTAGCTGCTGCTCTGGCCTGCCACAGATTGTGTAATGAAGGCTGTTTATTTTAGCAGCTCTCTGCTCTGCTGAATATTAAGGACAGTATCTATGTAGCTGCTGATTTACAGATACTTTGGGTGGAGGGGAAGGTTCCTCAAGTGTATTATTTTGGAAAGTCTCCAGTGTACTTCAAGTATTCAAAGAATTTCCAATAAAACTTTTGTGTAAGCAACACTCTGCATTTTTCTGTGTACCAACAGGTCTGGGACAGTCCTAGGCTCATGCTTGTTTTCCTCCAGGAAAAAGGAGGGTTAGGGGCCTCTCAGTGAATGCAGGACAGAGCAAGTTGCTGCCTCTGTCAGAGGGCAGAATGGACTGGTGCATTATAGTTGGAGAGGTCAGTGGGATCTTGCTGAGATCAACCTACTGGAAGGACAGTGAGGGACAGACAGAACAGGTGCCTGGAGGTGGGAGGAACAGTCATACAGTGTTTGACCCTGCTGACCTCACCATGAACTGGGAAACAAATATTAACTGATCTCCAGAGGAAAGAGGTGGGAAAAGGCAGAAAAAATTACCCAGAAAATTTGCATTGTACATGGTTGCTACATACTTAAAGAAGCATAGGAGTGTTTTTGAGTTGACAGGAGAGATAGCAGAGACTAATAAAATACAGAAAGAATAACCAAACTTAACAGCTGCATTCTAGTAGTGGTAAAAGTTAACCCTGTATAACACACAGTGCCAGGTATGGTGCCAACACCTTCCCTTTAAAGGAAAGACAAGATTATAAAAATCCATGTACTAATAGCAACTGCTGATTTAAGCTTCAGTGTAAAGGGTGTCTGGTTGTTATAAAAAAAGACACAGTGGATAAAATTACATGAATGGGGGGAAAATAAGAGAAAAATTACTCTGTGTATTAGAAGCTTCTATGAAGGGAATATTCCAGCTTGGGATATAAGGATAACTAATAAAAGCAATCTTTTCTTAATCACATCTTCAGAAGGTAACACAGTAAACTGGGCATACCACTGGAATCTCACAGGTAGCAATCTGTCTACATTATATGCATCTATATATGTGTATTTATGAGTGTCATTTAATGAACTTAAAAGACACAGTGCAGTGTCAAAACTCACAGAAACCATCCTGTAGGATCTGGGGCCTACTACTGGGCTTTCAGTTTCCACTATTTACACCATGTCACCAGGAAGACAAGGGATTGGAAAAACCATCAGGAAATAAGTGACAAAGAAAACAATCACATAAGTACGATTAATCACCAAGGTCATGAACAATTAAATACCATCACTTTGTGAGCCTACTTTATGTATTTATAAAAAATGTTCTCAGAACAGTGTCCATCAAGTCAGGAGGCAGCTACTCATGAGAAAGTGTCCAGTTACAGTGGTGCTCACACTGTGTTCAGTACTGCCCATGGCAGCACATAACATAGTCCTGCCAGTGCCAGCTCCCTTTCAGGGACAGATGCACCTGCTCTCCAACTCCTCTGAGCTGATGTTGCTACAGCACAATGCCAGGCAGGTCACTGTGACAAAGCCCAGAGCCAGGACCACCTGCTACACTGGGGAGGTTTGAGATCTCTGTATAGTTGGAATGTTAACCACACTAACCCCATTACAGGGGCCATGTCAACATACAGAAGGGGAGCTGGCAACACTGGGAAGCCCTTAACTGGTACAGTAAAAACAGACAAGCAGCACACATTTTAGACATGCAAGTGTTGACATCAGCCTCAACACATCACCCTGACATACCATTGCTGACATCCCAGCAGTCAGGCTACTGCCTGATGCTGATGGCTTTAGCCCCAGCCCTCTCCATTCTACTCCTAATTCTTGCATCCTAGCCAAAAAACTTACTGATGTAGCAGGCAAACTGCAATCCTTAGGAAAAAGTGGTGAACTGAATATGGATCAAGAGGAGTGTGGTGGTCCTAACCAGACTATTGCTCATCAAGTTAGCAATCCACATCCATCGAAATGAGAAGGTGCAGGCTTCTGCTGAGTGTATCACTTGCCCCAGGATAAACTTAGCCAGCAATTCCTAAAGTGGCTCCTGCTTGGCACCCTTGGAAATCCTAGGCAGACTGCTCATCATGACAGGAAGATGGTAATGTGGAAGAACATCCTTCTTCAGAAGAGCCAAATGTATACTACTTCATTTTTGTTTTAAATCTGTTTCCAGCCCAAGGCTCCTGCAACCTAATATTTCTTCAGAGTTACTCACATAGGGGGCATTTCATACTCTCTTTCCTTCCTTGCAGCATGGTTGTGGTTGGCAGCATAGACAGCCTTACTTGTTTCTTGTAGATGTGTCACTGCTGCTGCCACTTGACGAACATGTCTGGATCTGAGATTACATTTTGATTTTTATTGAAATACAAAAAGTGCAAACTGTGAAATACAAGATTGGTGCAGATTAAAAGAAAATAAACAGTGTGAACTGTGAAAACCCAGGCGTGCACCTGATGAACATTAACAAAGAAGGCAGGGAACACCAGCAACAAAAGCATAGCAGAAATTTTTGCACAGGAGCCCCTGTGCATAAAAAAGGAAACTGGGACCAAACTGGCCCTCAGCTCTCTCATATTAGCACACAAGGCATCTGGATGGCCCCAGACCCCCTGCACCGCCCAGAAGCTCTGGTGTCAGTTCACAGCTTGGGGCAGGGAGTGATCAGAGGCCATTAAGACAGCAGGAGGCTTAGCAGAGGGGAATGTTCTAGATGCTAAAAAGCAGGAGGTTGATGCAGAACAAGTACCCCCACAGGAAGAAATGGCTAATAGCTAACCTGAAAAGTAAGCCAGGAAAGAGACCCTTGGGCAGCTCTATAGCAGGAGAAAACCGACACAGACCAGCACCTTAATTGTATACCACCCTGACCTATACAAGGCAGAGAAGCCCTGCCCAGCCAGCACCCTGCCCATGTGAGGAGGGAATTTAACCTCATGGCCTTGGCAGGAGCAGGCTCTGGTCACCACCCACCTGACACAGGCTGCAGGCAGGCCCGGGCCAGTTCTTTGCTCAGATCACTGGAGGAATATTTCAATACAAGGCATTCAGGAGAAAAGACTGCAAAAGCAACCCTGGTTACTATGCCTGCTCCAGGGCTCTCAGCAGCTCCAGCACAAGGAGCAGCAGAGGAAAGGGGATATTTACAGTGGGTCCCTTCCAGGATTTGCAAGCACTTTCCCACCATGAGCAGTAGTAGTTCCCTGAACACTCTCTGCAAGCACTGAACTGGAACAGGCTTTTATCCCTGCCAGCAGGGGATGAACCAGCCTCTATTTTGCTAAAAAAGGAAACGTCATTTCAAGAATTCACTAAAAAAAACCCCAACCAACCTAAATCCCAAAAAACACCCTAAAATAAACCGCCAAAATCCAGCCATAACTCAGACACTTGCAGTATTCCCCACTTTCCCCCTGGACAGGAGCTACTCCAGCACTGCTCCTCTGGCTACTGGGCAGGGAACAGTCCTTGCTGCTCTGCAAAGTCAGAACATGCCACTTCCCCAGAGAGTGCACAGGGCCAGGCCTCATGCACACAGGCACTTGGATTCCAGGCTGCCGAGCTTGGGCATTTGTCCCAGAAGTTAAGTGGGCTTGCCTCTCCTCTACAGAGATGAAGGTGAAGCCAGTGTCAGCTGCAGACACAGTCAGAGCACCAAGTCTCCTTCTCCCTCTACCAAAGGCTCCACAGGGCAGGATGCCTGCAGGGAAAAAGGAGCTGCACTAGGCTCCCTCAGCCTCCATGGCCTTGCCCCTTAAACACTGGGGGAAGTACACCTCTCTCCACACTAGTCCACCCCAGATTACTCCTCCACAGCACATCCGCCCTGCTAACTCACTCGAGAAGAGATCACAAATGAATTTGGAGCAGATTATCTCTCCCTCCAAAACATTTACTTAGTTACTGCTGTGAATTGTTCAGGATGAAGCAATTCATGTCCTGGCCAAACAGGGAATGCTCCTACTCTTGGAAGAGAGAGACTTGTAGAAGTCAGCAGCCTGGTAACCTCCACAGGGCAAAGTCTCCCGGTATCTAGAAAGGATCAGATCCAGTCCTGTCTTAGAACCTCTCTTGCTCCGGTCTTAGTAATGTTCACTTACTTGTTCACTGTTCCCACCCACGTTAGTGTGCCTCCTCCAAGGCAGCTGGCTGAACCTGCGCTGCCTTGCAGAGCTGCCTATGTTTGCACCCATCCCCATTCCAGAGTTTAGCAAAAAGAGCAATCTCCTTAATTCCTGCAGCAGATGCCATTTACTTTGACTACACCAGGGGCACCGACCCCTGGTCAGTGTTTAAAGGCAGGCTAAAATATTATGAAAAAGCAAATTCTCTTTAGCATCCAGTAGCTTTAAAAAAACAGTTCTGCTTGGTCCAAAAGATTTGTCCCTGAGGCCAGATGCAGCAGGGAGGTCTGGCCCAGGCACACGATACAAAGATAAATCACACCAGTGAAGTAAGGCTAGAAGTTCCCTCCTTTAACCCTGACAGGCCAGGCTGAGGAGAAGGATCTCTTTTAGCTCAGGTAATGGGAATGATGCAACCCAAACCCAACAGAGATGCTGTGACAGTATCGCAGCTGCTCCAGGGAGGTGCCAGAACCACCCCACTCTCAGCCTGCCTTGCAGAGAACATGATCTCTCCAGCTATGTCCAGGGCATACAGGATGCATCTGACCAGATGGCAGGGTGGAAGGTATGAACCCAAGAGGAGACACGGCAAAAGCCCTCGGCATGGAATAGCTGCTCCCTCACAGCTTTGGCACGAGCGCTCAGCACCTGGTCAGAAATTTGTAATCCAGGCCTGTTGCACTCCATGGTGAGGGTTGGCCCCAGTCCCCAGACCTTCCCTCAAGGCCATGCTCTCTGTTACACTGTGCTGGGGAAAGTTATGCTCAAAAAGTAAAAACTAGTCAAGGCAGTCTGTGCCAGTCAGCATAGATACATGTGCCAGAAGACGAAGCCTAGTGCCCCATCCCCAGGACAGATGGGGATCTTCATGGTGTTCAGCAGCTCAGTGCCATCAGGGCACTTGCTCCTGCCATTCAGACTCGCCAGTGGTCAAAGGGTCACAGCTGGCCTGCATGCACAGCCAAGCCTGGCATGACCCTTCCCAGCCAGGCTGGAAGTGCTGCTGGAGGGACAAACACACCTGAGCTGGATAACCACAGGAGGCAAGTCACCCGCTACAGTCCAGCAAACAATGAATAGTACCTGGAGTGGGTGACACCAGAGGGGCTGGGCTTGGGCTAAACTCACTTTCATTGTTTTGGAGTCTGACAGGTAACACAGCCCATTGCCATGAGCCTGTCCTTCACCTGCCTGCCAAAAGCAGGGGGTCTAGAGTGGTGGCTGCAAGTGCAGGACATGCTGCTACCTGAAGCACAAGGGCTGCTGCTCCCTTCCCTGCTTTAGGTGCCCCTGGGGAAAGGCAGGATGCATGCTCAGTACTGAGAAATGGCACTCACAGTAAGAATGTCTCCATCACAAAACCCAGCAACCCTGCCCTAGCCCAAACAGCCCAGCTGAGGCAAGGAGGGGTGAGCTGGGGCTATTGGGAGCTTGAACAAAAAGATCTGTGCTGAGGAAGGGACCAGGAGGGCAGAAAAACTGCACATAAGGGAAGGAGGAAAGGAAGGCAGGTCATCTGATAGGGCAGAAGACTGGTGATGAGCCCCGGAGAAGCTGCGCAGGTGGATTAGGACTCCAGTCTCAGCAGCTGGGAGACCAGCTCCCCTGCCCATCCAGAGCTGCAGGTCTCCTGCTCACTTACTTGCACACTTTCACCATCATCTCCACAGCCCTCACTCTGCTCATCACCCAGAAGATCAATGGTCCCTTTGTACTGGAGACAGCTTGGTCACAGCTCCAAGACAAAGAAGGGGAAGGTGGGCACAGTGTGCAGGTGTGGGCTGGCCTGGGTTCAGGCCTCTGCAGCCTCAAACAGCTCCTTCTGGTGGTCCAACAGGAATTTGGTAAAGGTATTGATGGGATTGATGGCTTTTAGAGTGATGGCCACATCTTTGGCCCAGAGCAGATTTGGGCCAAACACAACTGCCAGGTTGGTGTTTGTCATCTTGTTTCTGTCGCTGTGAGCAGAGACCTATGTGGGAAGGAAAGAGATGACTGTGAATCCTACAGAATAGCACAGCAGCTGCCTACCCTCCCCAAAGCCAGAGACAGAGAAAATAAGGGGAGAAAAGCTGACCAGGCCATATCATAACAACAGGATCAAGAGCACTGGCAGCTAATATCTCTACAAGTCCAAATCACTACTCATGATCTTCCCTCTTGTTTGACTGGCCTTGCAGTGGCTTTCTTGGCAGCAGGAAGTACTGCAAAGCAAATCTGAGACCCCTCTTCTACTCAGCTACTTTGTAGTTCTACCTCCAGCCTGGGGAGCTTCCAGCCTCCCTGGTACAGACCACGCAGGCTGTATGGCTGCACCTTTAGGCTGCCTGTGCCTCTCAGCATTATGACAAGCAAATGCTTAGGCTAGTGCTCACCTGCACCAGAAAGGCTGTCAGTAAACGGAGCACTTGGTAGTTTTCTTCTGGCAAATCCTGGAGTGTTTTGCGAACAGCATCCACACGTTTCACCTCCTCCACACCTAAAAATCAAGAGAAACAGGACAATCCTCAGCATCTGTCCTGATGAAGGCCCTGCTGGCAGTCACAAGTTATCCCATGCATGTCTTCACTAAGACATCTTTGCCCTTAGCCAGTGAAACATTCAGGGAGTAGCACTTGTTACAACTCACTCTGGAAGCTGACAACATGGCTGTAGAGGCCAAAAGTAAGGAGGGGCTCAGGTAGCTCCCTCAAGAAGGTCTTGAGAATCACAGCAGGGAGGTGGACATCTTCATACTCCTGGAAATCTACAGGCACACCTGAGAAAGTAGAGCAGAGATTCAGTGCTCACTGGGCAAAGCAGCACCTCCTCCAGACAAAGGACAGGACACGATGGTCAGAGCCCGAAACTAAGGAAGAAGTATTTTAAAAAACACAGAATCCCAAAGTACCACATCTTCTAGCAAAGTGGAAAAATATGTCCCAAAATCATATACAAACCAGTGCTGAATCCAGCACTACATCTTTAGAAGTCATCAAATCAAACATGACTAAGTTTCATCCTGGTCATCTTAAGTCCCTTCAGTATAACCAGAATAAGATGGTGTATCTCACTCCAAGAAACAGGGAAACTTTCAGAAAAAAAAGAATAGTTAAGGGAATACGAGTGGGAAGGAATATGCTTTCCACACAGCAGAAGTACCAGATACTTCTCCCTTGCAATTCAGGTCATACCCCAAGATGAGGCCTCACCTACAGACCTATCAAAGAAGGAGAGGATCCATGATGGACTAGTTCCTACACAGTTGCAGTTGCACAGTAGTAATTAGGGAATGAGAGGGGCTCTGATGTGTTTGGGCACTTACCCATATTGTATTTTTGCTGGACCTCTCTGACAACCTGTGTATTTGCTGATCTCCGGAAAATCCCCTCTGTATTAAGAGCTGTGAAGTGACAGCAGATGCAGAAGAAAACAATCAGCCATGTGAGAGTCTCTAAAAATGCTGGCCCTCTGCAATTATAAATCCATGCTGTGGGGCATTCAGACAGATATCAACAAGTCCCTTTTTTAGAGCACAACAATTTTTTCTGCTTCCACTATCTGACAAAGGATACAAGGGGCATTTGGCTACTTTTACACAAGTAGGAACATGGACTCCTGAAAGAAGGAGGTCTCCTAAACCCTCCACAATCTCACTTGAAGGCTAACTCACCTAGTTCAGGCTTTACACCCTATTCTAGACTGCTGTTCTTCTTTATCTTAACACAGTCTTGATGGGAGCTTGGACAGAACAGAGGTCACTGATCTGGGACTGCAGCTTCTCCAAACACTTACCATGCTCCCGCAGGTGAGCAATGGTGTCTCTGACCACCAGAGGAACAGGAGACTGATCAGGGCTCTTCTCCCTGAGACTGCACCAAGAAACAACAGGTTACACACAACTGATACACAGGACTGGTCCTGCCTTACATGCAGCCTCCAACTCTTGAATTTATCCACAAAAGCTGTACCACATATGATCTTGCTATCCCCATCCCTGGTTCAGCTATTATTCCAGCCTTCTATCCTCTTCACCCATCATGTTACATCATTCACTGGAGCAACTATGAGCTCATTACTAGACCACAGGAACATTTTTCCATCCTCTGTAAAAATCTCAACCTGTATATGCCAGGGCAAAGGGCTTCCCAGAAGGGAAGTATGCTAGTTATGAATCAGGTGAAAAGGGTTACACTTCCTTTTTTCTTCCCCATAGGAGCAAGGGCAGAAATAAGCTGACACACAAGAAAAAATAAATTTGGCCACCCCATTCCTGTGACAGAAGATTTATCAACAAAATGGCCGTCAGGAAAACCTCATGACACCAAGGTGCTCCCTGCCACCCTCACATTTGATTGTCCAGACCACTCCATAGCTGGGAGCTGTTGACCCCTCCCAGGCTGCTAACAAGCTCAGGCAGCACGCACCATGGCAAACACCATCTGGAAATGTTGCACTGAAGCCGGGGAATGTGTTCCCAGACTGCCTCAGAGGATGTGTCTAGCTACACAGTACTGGCTCCTCCTCATTCCCCAGGGAGGCAAAACCACACTCAGAGTTAAAAATACCTTCAACAGTTACTCAGTATCACCAGCCCTTGCCAGTGTCTGTGTGTGCCTTCGTCACTGTGCAGGAATGGGGAGTGGGATTCACTACAAGGCTGAATAGAGGTGCTTTTAAAATAGAATTTATGATTTCAAAAACAACTAGGAAACAAATCTGCAGTGCTGCTCAAAGCAGCATAGTCCTAAAGAGAACCCTGTCAGCCTCCTACAGACATCTTTTGCTTAAAAGAAAGTTTCCAGTGCCATAAAGCTGTCCCCATGGCTCTTATTTTGCTCCTCCCTTAGTGACCCTAAGTTGCAAAAATAATCTAACCCAGGGATCAAGAGAGTGGAACTGAACTGAGTTAGTCAGGATCTGGACATGAGCACAGAGTTCCTCAGGAAAATGATTAAAGTTTTGTAGAAAGTCTGAACTGCAAGAAATTTTGCAGCCATTTTCTGCTGTTGTTCAGTAATAAATACAGTGACCTCATATCAAGCAAGTCAGGGCAAAAGCAACACAGTCCAGAGATACTCACTGCTGTAGGGAGACTCCAAACTGCTGGTTTGGCAGTGGTGGACGTGGGGGTGTTGGCTTCTGGGGCACTTGCAAAGGTTTCTGCAGGGATCTCAGGTATTCATCATACCTGCAGCAAAACACAGACTAGTAAAAAGGCACTCCACCTCCCAGAAAGTGCATGAACCCAGCACTGCACACCCACTGGTAGCAACACCAGACTGGTACGGTCAATTACACCTATGCAAAACCACCACAGGCAGTTTTGGAGCACAAGAACAAACATCTCGTTGCCAAAAAAAAAAGCAAGGAGAAAAGGAGTATCTATCTGTAATCAAGAGGTGGAGTAGCTGAGTAACAGCATGGGCAGGAGGCCAGGACAGCATTGTGATGAGACAGATGCATATGTGGGTGTGGGACAGGGAAGCAATCTGGTAGGACTGAGATTATGGGAACTTTGGGAAGCCCCAAAGACAAGCTGAGCAGAGCAGAATGAGCTAAGCAGGTGACCAGACGACAGCAGATGCACACCACGAGCTCCAGGTCAGTGTCAAGGTCAGTATCTTGCAGGAAGTCCCCAGAGGGTGAGTGGGAGATGCAGGATTGGTGCCTCATTGCGGGAGGATTTTTAACTCAAAGACAGAACTGGGGACTGGGGCCAAGGACACACAGGAAGGACTATAGAGAGAAACCAGTCATGAAGGCAACTTGTCAGCACACCCTGCAAAACCTGAGTGGAACAATCTCTTCCTTCCCTTGCCCAAAAGGTCCCCTCTCACAGAACCCTAAACAGGGGGGGAGACAGACAGTATTCTCACTTTAGCACTTGGCTTGGGATCCCCAACTGTTCCAGCTTCACATACTCCTCCAGCTCACTAAGGTAATTCACATAAAAAATCTTCCGTCCAAATTTAAAGCTGAAAAACAAGAGAAAGGTAGATATGTGAGGAATTGGGAAATCCAGTAACAGAACTGACTTCTTACAGAAAAGGAGTGCAGAGGGCTGCAAGAAACATCAGTGGGGCAAAGTGTAGTGGCTGAGCAGCAGAGATGTCACCCACATTGCTCTCCCAATCCATCTATTTTACCAGGAGATGCAAAGACTTTCCAAGATACATTAGAAGCCCTAGCAGCAGCAGGCTCCCTCAAATGGTGGATTTCTCCTTCCTTTCTTCAGCAGTAGGCTTGAGAAGATTTTACTCCCAATTATTTCATGGAGTTATTATTTCAGTATCACAATAAATTAAATATTTGAGTTACAGAGTCTGCAACTTTTTACTTCTACCTGGCTGGAGAGAAAATGAGTAGCACAAAGCTGCAAACTCTGTAGGTTCCTAAAGAGGTATTTCTGGTGTGTGAGTATTTCTGAGCTCAGAAGTGGGAGGAGACAGAAAAAGGTGAGAGACTCCAAGATAGGCTTGGCAGCCTGGGCTCAGCTTGTGCCCCTCTGAGAAGGCCCCATTGTTCCCCTGCAATGTGAACATGCAGGTGAGCCTCCAACAGTGTTTCCTTCGTACCTGATCAGAGGCTTGAAGAGTATCAGCAGGGTCTTGATGAACATGGTTGGGTGCACGATATACAAGGCTTTGATGTTCTTCTTGTATCTGTCAAGAGAAGCCTAGTAATGACAAGCTGCACCTTAAGCACAGGAACCAACCTTTCCACAAGATTAAGGCACCCTGGTTGCTTCATGCCTTTTGCACTGAGCCTCACCACACCCCAGCAACCATGGCCTCTGCTCTCCTATGCTCTGTAGCTGTGTCAGGCCACTCAGCAGCCTAAGGGCATGCTACCCTGTATTCCAATTTTCATCTAAAATCAGTGAGTAGCCTCCTCAGGAACCTACAGTTATACCGTGGGGCTGACACACTTGCACCAGGTCCTGGGTTTGATGCTTGCCTGTTGGCCTAAAGCATGTAACTACAGAAGGAGCTGTTTAACCTATGTTTCAGTCTGTATTAAACAACAATCCACCTCCTTAAGCAGAGGAATAAGTGACAGTAAATTATGATCACCAAGCTACACAGGAGGGCTGGGGAAGATCCTCTATATTAGGCTAGAGAACAGCACAGGACATCCTTGCTTGCTGCAGCTTTACTCACTTGCGATCAAATTCCCTGTAGGCATCCCGCAACCAGCTCAGGGATGGCTTGTTCTCACTGGTCAGGCCATGGTGCAGGTACACCAGCGTGTAGTCACTCTCCACATACTGGTCCAGTGTGAATTTCAGGTACCTGAGAAGAAAGAATTGATGAACTCAATTTGTGCTGGGCTACAGAGAGCCTATTCCTCCCTTTGGGACTCTTTTTGTGTGCCATAACAGAGGATTTGCAACTCCAGCAATGGAGGTAAGTACTTGGGATGCCATGTCCAGCTAAAGAAGCTACTACAGATGGACCTGTCCCCAGGAATCCAGTAGCTGAGAATTAGGTCAGATTTAAGAAATTAACAGCAGCCTACTACAGCATTCTACTTACCCCAGGAGTTTCACGTGATCTAGTTGATGACTTGGGGGCATCCGGCAAGCACTGAACAAAATGACTTTTCTTCCATATTTGTCATCACCTGCAGATAAAATGCCAGAGATTACAGGAAGGTAAGGACTTCATTGTGGTATTGGCAGCAAGGGGTAAAGAAAGAATGAGAAACCACCATAACAAGGCACAGCTGCCAGCAAAGCTAAATCTGATTTTCAGCAGTTATCATGGGCCTAGTGTGGAAGCAGAAACCTGACTGCCAAGGGTCTGGCAAGTCAACAATGAGAATCAAGAACAGATTCCCTGCTCCAGCCCTGAAAGGAGATGAAGGACTGGAAACCAGAATGTCTCCAGGCACATAGGGATGGAGGCAAGTACAGAGCAGAGTGCTCAGAGCATTAATCCTGCAAAGCTGTGCCTGGGCATTGCTCCTGATACACCCATCTCCAGGGAGGCACAGGGAAAACTGCCCTTCACTGGCACAATAACTCCTTCCATCCTGCACACAGTCCCAGACTAACTTCTAATAGTCTGGTGCATCTGTTTTTTGCTTCACCTGGAGTTTAGTTCTGCACACAGAACACAGGCCATTTCATACCCTGGAAACCAAGAAATTCCTAGAAAAAGAGCAGTTCCAGATAAGAACTGTTCTGGATGAGTTCCAGGTAATTTCTCATCTTTCCAAAGGAAAGTCTCTTCTACAGATGGGCCAAGCAGGGCTGCTGGATTCTCCAGGAGGACTGTAGAATAAGCTCTTCACCGCTTCCTAGATTTTCCATCCACAGAGAGATTTTTCCAGCCTGAGACAGAAGGAGCTGCAAAGTGCAGCACGACAAAGCATTCTTTGTAAAAGCCATGCAGAAAACAGTCCCCATCACACTGGAGCCAAATAACCCATAAAGCACCGTCATGTCATGAAGGACACTCCCAGGCACCACTTGAGGCTTCAGAGACAACAAGCCAAGTTTTCCCCAAAGCAAGTCTTCAACAGTGGACTTCTGCCAGCAGAGATCTCAGCCCCATGAACAAAGCCCAAGCAGACACGCATGGCCAAGCTTAGCAGACATGCTGGGGAATAGAGAGATTTGCATAAGTGAGAACCAGGTCACAAATCCTGCAGACATACAGAGTTTGAGGGAAAGTCTGAATCTCTCCCAGACACAACACCCAATCCATTTCCACAAAGATGACTTCTTTTTTGCAGTATTGGAGATAAAATGGTTCCTTTAGTATTAAGGGTAAAAGTCTTCCCACCTTTTAGCTACTCACCCTGCTCTGAAACCTGTGTTTTCTTGTCAAGCAGAGAGTGCAACAGTGAATGGGGCTGTTGAGGCTACACTCAACAATACCCTCCTTACTCCCATATGGTAAAGCATCTCACACAGACCACAGCACAGAAAAGCAGCAAGGATCACTACTTATGCAGGACTGACCTGCAATACATCATTCCTCTTGAAATATATCCTTTTCCCAGCATGGATTTACAATATTAATGCAGCCATTTTCTCAGCTTTGCACAGGCTCTGGCGCTCAACTATCACTTGGCTACACTTGCCACGCAGCAGCTGGGGTCTCGGAACAGCAAACCTGATATTTCTGGGAATGCTGCCTGTTAGTACCAGAGGACCACTTGGTGCTGCAAATGACAGCCAGAGAATTCATACACACCAGCCATGACATTAAGATGCCACCGGCCCCCTTTTGCCCCCATCTTGCCAGAACAGATTTTCTTGCTACTTTGTTCATTTTTATTTTCACCTTGCAAGTCCCATTTTCAAGTCACCAGACAACACAGAACTTAGTGATGCACACAAGGCAGAAATTGTACCAAAGCTAAGGACACTGCGGCAGCACTAGGTACGGGCCAGAAAAGGGGCGGCACAGGCCATCACACTGACATACACATGCGCAGATACGGGGCAGGGGGAGGACGCACGACCCGGAATGCAGGACTAGGAGAGTGATGCAAGGCTCATCTGGAACAACCAGGTACAGTCACAGCCAGGCCACAAGACCAACATCACACTGCATATCCCATGGTAGCCCACTCTGTGCCTACCCCAGAGTTTCTTGGTAGCTCACTGTGAGCTTTAGGGACAGGTCTAATGTAATTGAGTTGTCTAAAAGGCTACGTGCAGGTTACAAAGTCCTGGGCAAGGAACATGGTATATTGTGATCCTTCCCATTGGTCTTGAGCAACTCATATGTCTCTATCTGAAGGACAAAGGCCTGTATAAAGCACCAAGAGGATGCACATTTGAGAATCTGTTGAGTTTTATGCTCATGAAAGAGAATGGTCAGAAAGACAACAGACCTTTGCAGATCATATGTAGCTCTATGCTAAATTCAGAACAGATGATATCTTCAGTTAACTGAGGCTGCATTTCACACCAGAGTGGACGGTCTGAGGGCCGGATGCAGACTTCAAGTTTAATCACACACACAGACCTCTGTGGTGTGCGGTACAGTACCATGTTTGTGCCATGTTGTGGGTGGCCATACGCTCAGCTCAGGCTTCTGGGCACTGACTATCAGACTTGACAAGTCACAATTCCAGAACAGCATACCTTAAATAGCTTTCTCTGAAGTGATATAAAAGCCTACAGCAAGGCCTATGCAAAGTCTAGAGTCTTGTTCCTTACATAGTCTGGGATTGCTGGTAAAGAATAAACAGACAATCCATGACTCTTCCAAAGGGGAGATGGCATGTATCTCCTGGACAATTTCCAGGGCTAAGTACATCAAAAGATAATCTACAGTGCCCTGGATGACTGAAAAAGGAGTGGCCTGTTTTGCCTTCCAAATCAGAATGAATTTATGCATGAGACCTACAAAGGAACCAGCATGCCCTTTTCTGAGTTCTGGGTTTTGCTCCAGTTTTATCACACTGAGCTCAGCCTGTCAACACAGAAATTTTCAAAATGATCAACTGCCAATCTTGTTTCTACCTGACATATATCTGATCAGTCTCCTTGCTCCAGACATGACACAATCAAAAATTCAGCATCAAAGCTGAATAATCAGTTGCTCCAATTTATAAACAAGAACCTAAAGCCCATTCCATGCATTCTTGTTGGAGGAAACTACCTTCAGGTGGCCCCTCTGCCTCCTACAGAACAGATTCTTATCAGGTTTGATCCTTCCCAGATGCTCCATCCCTTGTACTATTCGCTTTCCTGTTTGCAGTATTAATCTTATGTATCTAGGTTTTCACCCCTTGTTTGCAATTGCAAATAGCTGAAGTTTCCACTGAACACAACTACAGATCATGAAGTAATCACTTGGCTTCTCAGGCTGCCTCCTACCTCTCCCAGATGAGGAATGCTCAATAGTTAACAACAAACGAATAACAAATTATATACCATCAGTACTCAAAGAACACCCCAACTTAAAAAATATTTTCAAGTACACTGGAATTAAACTACCTCCCTGAAGGATGTGATTCAGATTATTTTGCTTTTAACAATAAAGAGCAAGACAGTAGCCAATGCCTAAAGCCAGACAAGACAGCTGCTCATCTAAAGAGATACGCAGTTGTAGCACTGATTGACATAAGCTCCTGAATATTTTTATGGCACTTTTAAAGCCTGAACTGCATTTTTCTTCTCGCTCAAAAAGTGCATTTCCAGGGCACTTCTCAGACAGGGGCAAGGAAAATCACTGCTGTGTGTCCAAGCCATGAGTGCAAGGCCAAACTTCTAAAAGGGCTGAAATTAAAATACTGAGGCAAATGTTTCAGATTAAAACCTGCAGCAATACAAATGTATCACAGCAGAAATTCACATCAAGATGGCAATAATATCCCAAGACGGGGCATTAAATGAATCTGCACAGCCAAAAAATACACAAATCTGCACATGGAAAATACATCCTTGGCATGCAAATCCTGTTATTTACTATTTCTAGGTAAATAGAAATATATCTATTTCATATCCTGAAATATATCCTTTAGCATTTATGTCACGATTTGAGGCAGCCTAGCTGCAGTCTAGAGACTGCTCATTCCTACCTTCACCAGATCGCCTCAGTTAGGTGCCTATCTTGTTGAAAGATTCATATGGGAATATCCTAATACTTTGATACTTGGACAATGCAGATGGATAAAACTCGCCGCCAAAAGCTAGTGTTACTGCTAAAACAGCAAAGTTAACAGAGTTGAGGGCCAAGGAAAGAGCACCACTACAGAACACTGGAATATTACTACACAAGTTTCACAAAGTTTAGCATGTTTAATCAGAGCCACTGTGAGCAAAAAACCTGTCAAATGTAATTTTATTTCAATTAGCTCCGTTAAGCTTATGGCACAGCTGGGAAATGTTTAAGCATAGTAGATTTTAGTTGCCTATTGAATTCCCAAGTGGATTTAGCCCTGAAGGAAAAGAAGGTAGGGAGTTCAAAGCAGAAGCATTTTAATACATTATTTAATCCACCTTGATATTCCCAATATCCAAACACTGCCAGAATCAGAAAGCCTTATGAAGTGAATTTAGCTTTAACTGATACAAAAATATACTAGAGGGTCAGATTAAAGAATGCAATATGGGAGGATGTCTGAGAGCATAGAAAAAGGGGAAGAAGACTCCACATAATGAGGAAATGAGAATCAGCATTTCCATGAATTGTGTGAAGGTCTTAGAAGTAAGAATTTCACACCAATAGAAGTTTTCATGTACATTGAGAAGCATGAAAGCCCCAGCAGCCACATTACTGAGACTTAGGACTGAAGTCCGGAGAGTATTAACAAATGCTCAGCAAGCCCAGGGAACTCAAGCACAGCTTTGGGCAAACAAGTTGCCAGAACACATCTCTGCAGCCAAATGGAGAAGAAATAGATAACAGTTGATTTCAGATGGAGAATCCAGTTTAAGTGCCAGCTGCTTAGCACGTGAGTGCAGCAGCAGATCATGTGAAAGAATAGGAAGCAATCCTAGAATGAACTTCCAAACCACATTTGATAACAGGATGAACTAGAGTTCAAACTGAACTGGTCCAAGCAGGTCACCACCATGACAGGACAGGAACAGGATTTACATTGAGACCCATGAGCCCCGAAGTGCCCAAAGTAAAGCCCACACACCAAATTTGGCTCAGATGATTCTGCTGTGTCTGAGGCAGAGGTGCAGCCCTCAGACAACAATTTTGTGCAGCCTTTGGATTCCTGAAAAATTGCCAGTGCAGCCTAAGGCTGAGCAAAGTTTGGGCTCCCCTGAGACAGTCCAGCTACAGGCCATGGTCATGCTAAAGGAATACCATGATCTACAGAACCAAATGTTAGCGCCACAAAAAATCTACCTACCTGGTTGGGCCCCATCAAGTGCACCCTGGTCTGGAGGAACAGAAAAAAAGTTATAGCGAGCCAAGCTTTGCATCCTTTCCCAGAAAGTAATCATGAGGTTAAAGTCTGAGAGCCTAGCCAGATTGCCACCGGGATGCATTTAGCTGCTGTCTTGCAGGATTCAACCTCCTTCCATTTCATCTTCCCCCCATGCTCCTCTGCCAAAAGCAGCCTTATCTAACAATTAGAGGCAATAACAGCCAGCCTTGATTCCCAAATCTCCTTTTTGAATTTGCAACTAACTCTGTATAGTCAAATTTCTTGCCCTTACTGTTAGACTTCATTTGCCACCAAAATGGTAACTGCTGTACTTGCCACTTTTAAAAGGGATTAATTGCAATTAATTCTGAAGTCCTCTGAACAACTTCAGAAGTGTACAGAGAATGGCATCATACCATATGAATAACACACCCCACACCCATAACTTTTTTTCATGATTAGTAGATTCTGAGTAAAAAAACTGAACTGCCAATTAGAATTTTAAAAAGGTTCCTATAGTTTCCTATAGGAGGTTCCTATAGTTTATGAAGGCATTTATTATCACACCTAGCCCCTTTCCATCACTCTCACAACTATATACTCAGCAGACCCACATGGGCCTATCAAGACAGGAGCCTTTGCAGAGCAGAGCTCTAGGAAGAAATTCTCCATTCCCTTATAAACTTAAAATTCCTTAGATACTCTCCCTTCCCTTGACATTGAATATCAAAATATGGTGCACAAGCTGGGCTTGCTTTGGATAGACTCAATTCTATAGAGGCAATTCATAATTTTTTATCATACAAAATATTCTTAAAAAAATGAACAAACAAAAAAGTTAAAAGCTGGAAACTACATCCAAAAGCAGCAGAAATGCAGGCACTCTGTACTGATGGAGCCAGTAACAATGTACCATGCCTGAAAAGTACCCTTGTTACCCTTTGCTGAGTCCATTAGCCACCAAAGACACCCTGCAACACATCTTCAACACAAGTTTTGTCTGCCACTTCTACCTTTGCCTGCTTAGAGAAACAGCAGCTACTGGTGCTCCAAGATTGACTTTACCTCCCCATGTCAATCACCAACACCTACAGCAAATCATCAGCACCAGTTACAGCTTTGGCATCTGCAGTCATGTTTGCTGGGTAGGTTTGGTACCAGATTCACCAATGAAAATAGATTTACTGCTGGAATTGCAGCTTCAATCAACTAACACAAAAGAAGGTACACTCATAGCTCTCCACCTTGTTTTCCCACTTCAGTTACAGGTCTTAGACGTATTGGCATCACAGCTTTTCTGACAGGGCAGCCCCACAGATTGACAATTAATGGTGTGAGGCAGCAGATTTCCCACACAAACTAGCAGAAACATGCTTTGAGCTCCAACAAAGTTTTGAAATCACTGGGCAGGGATTACATAGCTGGAGTATATAGTGACAGCCACTTTCCTGACCACTGATACACTATCTTCTACCCTCCATGGCAGTGAGGAATTCATATGCCAATACATGTTAGGCCCCTGTTTTCTTATCCCAAAAGAAAGCAAGGCAGTTATTGTGTAAAATGGGAATGCTGATGAACCTCATAGCCATAGTTTTGCATATTGACCACAAAGAAGAGACCAGTATTTCAGACTGGGCAGCAGAACAAGGATGGAACACCTTGCCAGAGCTGACAAGAGCTCTGTTCTTCCCACACAGCCACAGGCTTCCAGTATGAACTGCCATTTTTAGAAACCTGCTTTAGCCTATTATTAACTACCTGCCTTAGTTTTGCAATTCAGCTTCTGCTAAAATTCAAGGCCAAGACTATGTCACATCTGCCTCAACCCCCAAGAGGATGGAAGCAGCACCTTTGCCATGTAAGAACTGGCAGGAGAACACAGAAACTCTCAACATAACAGAAACTTGGGATAGTTCCTTAACAGCTCTCAACCAGGAGCTTTTGTTTCCTCCACATGCTATGTGACATGAGCAAGGGAAAAAACCAAACTTTGCAGAAGTGGACTGTGCAATGAAATCAAGCCTCCTCTCTTTCAGCTTCAGGCCACGTGTAAAGAGGAATTTCACTGCTACAGCGCTCACAAAAAGAGGCACTCAGAGTCAAGAAGAACCAAACCACACAGAGACCTCTCCAGAGCCTGTGTAAAACACTCCATAAACACGCACTTTAAGGCAGATCTGAAAGGAACAGCACAACACCAACATCTTCCTTCAGAAAAGCATCAAGTCCCAGAACCAAAATAATGTTTCCTTAAACCAAAATATTGTGATTCCTAACAATACTCCAGTTCTGAGAACTCCCTCAGGACTGTGGCCCGGATGCCTTTTGCTGTCATCTTTGTGTAACACACCATCACGTGGGACAGCAGTGACATGCCTGCTCCTTTCCCATGGACAGCCTCTTCCCACAAGATCCTAGTCCCCAGAAGAGACAGGAGCAATAGGGCACAAAGGACAGTCTCCATGAAACCACTGCACTATTTTTAAGTGAGAAACAAACCCCAAAAACTTATTTCCCAAACAAATTCTGCAGAAAGTTTTTCAGTACTTTCCCCTCTTAGGTCAGATAGCCAGACATTTCAAATGAAGCACACCTTGGACTAAATTAAGGCCAGCTAGGAAATGAGTGTGCTAACTTTTTGCCATCAAAACTGGGCTTTTATTAAGTTATTAACTCAATGCACACATCCAGCAAGAAGCAATTACTTTCTGACCACACAGGATAACACTGGGATCATGAAGTTCAGCCCGAGGATGGGAACCAGCCTTCTGCTTTTGTCTCAAAATAGCACCATCATCACAGAACATATTTCAGGGCAGGCAGGAACAGAGTTAGCCACAAACTTTCTGCTCTGAAATGCAGAACAGGGAAGGACATGGGACAGAAATCAATAGAGTGGATAAAACTATCCTTGATCTGCTGCCATTTGCTAATATTTACAAGAGATCTAGGGTAATTTTGTTTCAGGCTCAGCATAGCCAGTGTTCATTGCACCTGGAGCTGCTGACAAACACAATTTATCAGCAGAGCCACATCTGAACAGCTTCATATTAATCCTCCAGTGAGATTTTTATTCTCCAGGCTATGTCTAATGGGATTTTTCCAGGCTTTCCCAGGCTGATTGCCTCCAACAACAACCCAGAGAAGACTACCCTGTCCGACTCCAAACAGTTAAAATTCTCAATTACTGACCAAAAAAAAATTATCAGCTTCTCCAGAACCAAGATTACAAGTCAGACCCCTTTGATCCACTTCCTAAATTCTCCTTTCAGGAGATGAGAAACCAGCAAGTCTCAAACCTACATGGCAGCAAATCCTCTATCTGGAGCTGTGCTCCAAGCTCTCCCAGTGCCAAGAAAGGCATCACAGCACATGCCATGTGTGGGACCATCACATGCTTCCAGACACATCAGCTACCGGTGAAAACTGGCCAGCAAGAGCCAAGAACAGAAGCTTCTCTGAGCTGTTTCTGCACTATACAGAGACACTGCAGGGACACAGAGCTCACTAGGAATACAAATTTAAACCACAACGGGGAAGAGTTCAGAATGCAGGCACAGCTCCCAGTCAGCCATCATCCCACCCCGGAATCTTTTCAGGAAGCTGGCTAATTCTTCATTTGCTACCCTAGACTGTGTCAAATGGCCAAATGGCTCCGTTCCAACAGCCACTGACACAGACCTCCACTGGAGTGATACTCCATTCAGAGAGCTTGTCAAAGAAAAAGTCATGTTACCTTGGAACAGAAACCCCTCAGAAAGAGTGGTGTTTATCCCAGGAGGCAGCAGACAAAGTATATCCTTGGTTTGGGCTGACATTCCAGTCTTATCAATGTCTCTGATCTAAACTCTGCTAAGCACTTTGTCTGAAGCTTAGCCTAAAGCAACAACTGTTATCATTTAACTCACCCTTTCCCAGAGTCCTCAAATACCAGCTACCTGTGCCATTCACATTCCAAATATTCTGGCTATTACTACTGAAATGGTGGAGGCCACACATCTGTCCCTTTCCAGTTTCAGCAGCAGAGACCAGGGTGCAGACCTCTACAACCGGCAGTCCTGAAACTCCAGCCCCATGGAAAAGAAGCTTAGGAAAACATTTGCAAATGAAAACACTTCTGGCAAATCTATAAGGCGTAACAGCCCAAATGTCAAACACCTGGCCTGTCAAACTGAGCAGGAAAACAATAAACAACAAGGTTTTGAGACTGCCATTATAATTTTTTTCCACAAAAGATGGAACATGAGAGATCAGGAAAAAGAGAACTCATTTGAGAAAACTGCCCAGAAAAGAATGATATCAAGACAACTCTTACCAAAGTAAGTGCCAGAGACTCTTTTTGTTGTGGTCAAACTCTGCTGCAGAACAACCCTGAATTAGGAGGACTCCAGCCTGTGCCTCTGCTTCCTTGACAATTCACATGTGGGGCAGGGACCAAGTTACAGAGAGAGGGCAGTAGGAGGGGTAGGAGGTGCCAGTAGGAGGGGTAGGAGGTGGCTATAGTCAAGCAGGAGGTATGAATCAAGTCACAACAAGTTGTAGAGTGCTTCTTTTTTAAAAAAACAAGGAATACAAGACAAACTGGCCTTACCCTTCACTCAGGCTCACCACAGCAACCTAAAGAATACCTCCAAAACTCTTTCTCATAGAGGTCCCCAGCAGTATATCACCAAGGGTTAGCATAAATAAAATAATATGGACAAGAAAACACAAAAAAAAATACAAATGCTTGTGACCCTGAATGAACAGGTCTTTCCTTGCAGTGGAACACAGGCCTATTCCCCCTATTTCAGATTTCTGTACATATTATTTCTGGACAGGATGGCAAGCTCTGGCTGTTCAGATACGAGTGATTCCATCTACTGTGGATTCCTCAGTCAGCTGAGGACCTTATAGCTGTATTGCTTAACCACATAATTTCTGTGGCATTATCAAGCAAAAACCACTTTGTGTTCAGGATGTAGTAAAGAGCCATATCTAAAACAAATCAGCTAAAGCAACTGAGTCCTGACAATAATATAATCAAGTCAGCAAGAGCCAAGAAATAACCCAAGTTTAGCTGAAGTCAATGGAAAATTACACATATCACAAACATTCAAGAAGTTTGGTGTTCTTTCTGTGCCACCTGTCATTGCCACTTGGTCTTGGCAAACAGCAGATGTCCCCAGAGCCCTATTAGAAAAGTGCTTCCTCAGCCCAGCTGCAAAGACATCAAAGGAGAAAAGAGGAAGGTTCCTACCTGCCACTTCCACAATGTGGTGCCTGGCGATATCATAGTAGGGATGATCCCACTGCAGGTGAGTGACAGGCTCAGGGGAGCCTTTGGAGTCATCTGAACAAAGTACAAGAAACAAGCAATCAGAAGAAGGGATCTGGAGCACATTGGCAAGTACAGAAAGATAGAAGTATAAGAAAAAATGGCACTTCTACATGGGACTAATGTATGCAACTATACACCTTGAAAACCCACTTTTGAAATTCTGACTAGACATGGAATTCTGAGCAATGACTTCAGAAGAGTCCTCTCAGTCCTATGAGATCCATATGTGTCCCTCAGAATGTACACTCTCTCAAACAAATGTTCAAATATGTCACAAATATTCACAAAGACAAAACCCAAGGACACGGTCATGGCTTTTTAGGGAAAGGAGGATCTTAACATAGTCCCTTGATGGATGGTCATACTATATATCCTTGAGCTAATTTTCCTGACCTCTCTGTTCATAGTTCACAGCACAGGATTTCAGAGCAACAACTCAGATCTCCAGCCCCACCTCCCAGATGGAAGTTTGAGACCATTCCAGTCCAGAAGGCCAAACTCTCCTGCAAGAGACCATAATGGAGCATACTCAAAGATTTACAGCACATCTATTCTGTCAGCACCAAAATGCAGCCAGGCACAGGACTGAGAAGAGCATATTTACAGCAGCTGGTCTGCACTTTTTAGTGCTGTTCAATACTGAGGCTGATTCACTTGGGTGTGGTGCAAGTTTAATACATCTATAAAGCTTTTAAATGGAGCTGGGGCTCTCTGTATATGTAGATATGACCACAATGCTGCAAGACAAACAACTGCTTTTTGGCCAAAACCCAGATCCCAAACAAGCAGGATACTTACCTGATTTGGGAAAAGCAGGGACTTCATCTGATGGCCAGTTCTTATCATCTATGGAGGGGGCCAGTTTGAGCTGGCTGAGGGACTGGTTGGTATCATCCAAGTTCAGGTCATCCTGAAGATCCGTGAGTGGGTCTGTAGCCATGGTCCCCAAACACCGCAGTTTATTTCGCTGTGTCTAGAACACAGACTACAGAGATTGTTAGGTGAGACACAGAGATCACAAATCTACCTCCCCACAGAGACACTTCCTCTTCTCACCGATTTCCCCCCAATACTCCCTCATCCTTACTTATCCAGAGATTGTGTCCCCTCCTCCTTAATACAAGCAGGAATTCCTCCTCCTCCTTGTCAGAGGCACAACATATCAGATTCTTTCATGCCAATTGCTATCAAAGGCCATCAAGAGCTGTACCAACCCTCTCAAGGAATCTCTGCTTGACCACAGCTCTGGGCAGAACAGTTTTTCTCTCCTGAAACAGAAGCAGCACCAGGACTCTGCAGAAGGCGACAGGCTGCACCAGCCCCTGCCTGATACACTCCCTGTATGGCTCTGAGCTCCCCCTCCCTCCAAACAGCTGGCACAAAGCCCGGCTGTTTCCACAGTTGGCCCAGTACTGGAAGCTTTCCCAAGAATCACCCCCCTCCTTCTCCCCACAATGGAGAACCAGAGCTCTCAACAACACTGAAGTGCGTGCTTCAGTGTGATGCGATCTGAACAGAGAAGTGAACAGCTCCTTAAAACAGGAATTTTTTAGGCGGAGCTAGTAAAACGGAGAACAATACACATAGAATCCTCATCTCCTTTCAGCATCACCCAGTAAATCCTTTCTCCTACATAATAGCTAGAAGCAAGGAATCGCTTCTTTCATTTAAAGCCATACTGCCTGAATGAGTATTTTTCACCAAGCATGCAATAAGCAGACTAAAGAATTAAGAGGGTCCAAGAAACAGACAGCTCAGTGCGTTTGCTGTTGTTTGCAAATATTTCTCACTCTCATCTGAAGCAGAAGATACATTAAAGCTGGGACTGAGCTAGCACAGCATACAGGACCTCCTAAGAGTACCAACTCTTAAGGACAATCCTTGGGAAGCTGCTGTTATCCTCTGAATTCAGTCTCCTGGAAGTAAGCAAGGAAACATTAAAAAGGACAACTATGTAGATCTGGACTGCTCACACTGACCATGTGGACAGTAATTCCGTGGTCAGCAGGCAGCAAGCCAAGAGGAAGTGTAGAAAAATCAAGTGACATCTTGCATCAGCAAGAGTCTCTGCAGCACTGTTTCACAGCAATGCTTGTGGCTTATTTTTCTTTATAAGGAAAGCAAAGGTTCAAAGATCATCTGAGGAGGCACAACACCTTAGTGTGAAAAGTATATTTGCAGTAAAGCTATTTCCTTTAGCAGAATGGAGAGGGGGATGATGTTTTGCATCTTCCATCCCTGGAGCTTGAATGTGTATATTTATGCAGAGAAAACAATGAAACAGTTACTCAGACTGAGCACAGAGGACAAAACCTGTGAGAGACTGAGCTCTGGAAGGTGTCACATCCATGCTCAGGTCTATACTTGCCACCAAGCTTGAGGATGCATTTTGAGAGCACAGGAAATTGGATATTCAGTGGTTTTCTTCTCCCTTTGGACCATTCCAAGCTTATTATTTACTTCCTATCCTCCCTTATCTGCTACTCACCAGTTTACAACCAGTTTTCACCTCTCCAGGGCTCCCAAAGGACTGAAAGCTATTGGTAATCAAATGCAATGTTTCCCATAATACGAAAGAGCATGACATATACAGACAGCAGGTCATCAAGACAACACATCAGACACACAGGGTCCCACCACTGCAGCCACGCAAAGATCCAAGCAAAATTATTTTCCCTGCCCTCTGGTCAGGGCTGCCAGAGCTGCCTGACCTCCTCTGATATCAACAGGACAAGGAGCAAGAAATTAGGTTCCCTAGCACTTTGAGCTCATGCTGGAACCACGCAGCAGTGGAGCCAGGGACCAGGACTCCCCACCCCTAGCAGCTGATCCGATTTCTATGGTAACAGCAGGCACTGACTCCTATGACTCAGCGAGCTTAAAGCATTTCCCACAGGAGCTCAGCAGCCTCAAAAGCCAGTGCTCCATGCTGAGGAAGCATCCATAGCTCCCCAGGACAGCCTCTCAGCATTCACAGCTCTCAGGGACTTCCCAGCCCTAGTGGGGACAGAGGACCCACATTTCACTACTGCCATCCACTGAGATGCCTTTCATGGGAGATTCTTGGGGATGCCCGGTAGCAACCACTTCCCCAAAAACGAGTCCTGAAACACCTGGGGACCAAATCCAAATCCCCCCAGAGAGCAGTGATGGTACTGCCATAGGGCCAGCAAGTCACCAAGTGTCCCTACACTTGTCCCTACACTCACCACTCGGCTTCACAGTCAACTTGCAGCACTTGTCCAGAGACAGAAGAGCAGGTTATTAGACAGCACTGGGGGATTTCCCCTGAGGCATAAAATTAATCTTAGTGTGGCACCATGTGGAAGAAGGAAGTTGTTTGTTAGTAGGATCCACACTGCAAAAAGAGCCCAGTGGATAGTGCTCTGGCCTCACCCCTTGGAAAAACAGACAAGGCTCTCCAGATACCTTCATGAAGTTTTCACAGCCAGCTCCATTCCTTGGCCGTAGGTTACTGCTCCATGGTGTTAATGGAAGCAGGATCCAGAGCAGAAGACCTCTTAGATTTCAGGTCCTTCTTGTGAACCATACTGTAGTACCCAGAGAGCCCCAGAAGATTTTGCAGATTTTTCTCCAGCCCTTTCCCAACATGCAAAAGGCAAAAGCACAGGATCTCACATCAGATAACCATACAGCAGTTTAGGACATGAAATCTTCTAAATGCTTGGGAACTAGTAGGCTCTGAGAAGGAGAGAACTGGAGTTATCATGTAAAACACAAATTGAGGATCTTCATATAAGGATATACGTTTCACTTTCCAATAGTGCAGCTGCATGAGATGCTTCCCTGTGTACTCAAAAATGATCCCTAAGGATCTGTCTTTAAACAGAAAGTCCATATGTATCATGGCGATATAGCTGTTAAAATGAGTAAAGTGTTTGTTAAAACATTTCATGGTTTTTAACAATAAAAGAGCATTTCAACAGATTTAATTCTGTTTAAAAACTGCATCTGTTTTACATAAATGTCATGACAAGATGCAAGTGGTACACTCCATATAGCAAATAATAAGATAAGAAAAATTACACACCTAGATTTTGAAAAGCAAAAGTTGTAGCCAAAGATTTAAAACCTAAAGAATCACACACGGCAGCAGAAGCATTTACTTACTGCCAAGTTCTAAAGACCCAACTGTACCTTTTTTTCCAAGTATTTAAGTATGTTTTCTGCAACTGCACTACACCTGAACACTTGCTGTGTAATAAAAATTAACTTTCCTAGATAAGAGAGACATGTGATGGAGAACAGCATACTCCTCTAAAGGAGAGAACTCAAACCATTAAAATACAATATTCACAGAAATTCTGAACTGCAGATTCCTTATATAAGATCCAGAATTTACCCAAGAAAGACCATTCACATTATACCCAGGAAATCATGGTGGCTGCTGTTCATGAAAACTATTTTTTTCTGCAATTTCATTTCACTATTTTTCTATCACTTATTTCTAAGCTACACCTGCTTGGTAGTTTCCTTTTCCTGTTTTTCTTCCAGATGTACTATTAGTTCAGAAGTGAATTACACTTCAAAATATGTCCATGCATATATTACCACACCCTGGAGCTCTACATACAATAAAGAATTACAGAAGCCAAGTGACCTCTTCTTCCATGCAAGATGAACAAGCAATGGTCAGATGCAACACAATCCTGGTTCCGGGACTATTTTTATGACTTTGCCGCCATCCACACCTCCTCCCAGTTTCAGCCTATTTGCACAATGTCGCTTTTTCTATACACATCAATCAAGGCCCTGCACTTTGCTACAGTGTTAAAAACAAGCACGTCGAAAGAAAAGGGAGCAGTTACTCAGCAGCAGACCTCCAGGGTACTCACGTGCATGAATGAGGTCCAGAACCTAGACTCACCCACAGAGCCCACCCCTTGTCTTCCCTCACATCAAGACTGATAATACCACCGAGAGGATCACTACCCTGGCACTACCCTGAAAGAACGTAGAGGTCAAGAGCCAGACCTTGTCCTGGCTCACCATGACCAGTAAACTCAGGACAGACACACTATTGCTCAGGGAAGCCCTTTGCTCCTTCATTATTCCAACAACTTTTTAATTGAGCAGCCTTCCTTCCCCAGTCACCTCAATCCGTTTACTGAAGGCCACCTCCGTGCCCGCTGGAAATCCACGCTAGCGAGGAGTCAACTTCCCCTTACTGGTTCTCTGCAGGGTCTGAGGGCAAAAGTGCTGAACTCTCCAAGTGTCCTCTCCGGAGCTGCTGCACAAAGTACAGAAGCTGCTCTCAGTGCCGTGCAGGACCCACCCCGGACTCATGTGAGGGAGGCAGTGAGGCACACACAGCCCTGCGCGGGCTGCAGCCCTCCTCCTCCTCATCAGCCCCTCCACTATACATCTGTTCTCTCCCGTTCCCTTCGACTCATCTCCTGGGAGACCCCTGAGGGAACCTCAAGACGGCTTACGAGACTCACGGACTTACTATTTACATTGTTAAAACAAAGGTCGCCTAGTACACACCAATTGCCTGAAGACAGGACAAGTATCAGCCCCCCCCCCGCTGCTGGGCACCGGGATTAATGGCAGCCGGCCCCAGCGCCAGCCCCACCGCAGCCGCCGAGGTCGGGAGCAGCCAGCAGCAGCCACGGTGGCGCCGTTCCGGCGGTACCTGCACCGCCTGCCCCGGTCAGCGGTGACCAGGACACCGCGGGCTGCCGGCCCGGCTCTTCCCGCCCAGGTGCCCGCGGCGCTTCACCAGCCGCGCTCTTCCCGCCAGGCGCGCACCGCGGACGAACCGAGCCGCTCCCTCACACAGGGCGAGCCCGGCAACACCCGGGCGGAGCGCTCGGGGCTCCGGGCCCAGCCCCGGCCCGTTCAGCCTCAGTCCCAGCCCAGCCGCCGGGCCGCTCCCCCGCCCCAGCAGCACCAGGACAGGCCGCCGGACCCCGCTGCTGCAGGCTGGGCCCGGCCGCGCTCCCCGGGCACCCCACGCCGCCCCGCCGGTGCCGGTACCTGCCACCGCCACCGCCCGCCTGTCACCGCTGCCCGCCGGAAGCGCGGCCTCGCCGCCGGGGAATCCCGCCCCGCCCCGCCCGCTGCCGGCCGCCGTCCGGGCGCGTCCGCCGCTCCCTCGCAGTGTTCCGCCGGCACGGAGCGCCCGAGGCCGAGGGGGCGGCTGCGGAGGCGCGGGGGCCCGGGCCACCCCCGCAGGCAGAGCCCCTCGTAGGTGCGTGCCGAGGCCCAGAGTGGGTGGGATGAGCGGCCCGGCCTTCCCGAGCGTTGGGTGTGCGCCCTGCAACCCCTGCGGGACGGCGGTCCGGACCGTGCATCGCTCTTAGGAGCTGCCAGCCCAGAAAAGAGCGTGTCGCCCTGTTTTATGCCAGTCATGGCGATACGTCGTAGAAATACTTGTGAAACAATAGGAATGCTGCACAGGTACTGTCGGTAGTGAGAAATCGGAGATTCGTCCCTCTTCCCCAGTTTAAAATGGAAAAAGATCATAAAAGTAATGGTTCTCATGGCAGAGCCCCAGCATTACTGCATAGCAGAGTATCCATCTCCAGCGTTCATCTTTCTCTTATCCAGCAGCAGTCATGTCAACATAACAGCCAGCCTTAATTCACCCATCATGCCTTTGTGTTTGTGCAGGGGATCCCGAGGTCTCCAAGGTGGTAGCTGATGAAACCACAGTCCTCAGTGACCCTGTGTTAGCAGGCTGTCCACCAAATATTTTCACAGGCTGCAAGAAGCTTCCAAACATGAGCCATGACAAGCCAGCATGCTGGGGACTGAGAATCAGCATGTCGAGCCCATCTCAACCATTAAGACCAGTGGCAGGTGGAAAAAATAATTGGATAAGGTTGTAGATCCCAGATCTGCAGCAGAAAAAAGTGGAAATGGGACAGCAGGCAGCAAGTCCTGGAGACCTGGATCTGTTATCTCCGTCAAGCAGAGTTTGATTCAGTGCTCCCTTGGTTGGCAAGCCATGCAAGGTGCATGCTCTGGCCAGCCCACTCCAGAAGTGCCTGAAGGATTCTGGTGGCAGGACAATTGGGCAGAAACCTCAGAAGCCCAGTCCTACAGAAGGAGAGACTGCAGAGCTTTGTGAGAGCAAAGCTTCCAAAACGTTTAAACTGGCTTTCCCACAGCATGGGGGAAGGGCTTACTGAAGGGCCCCGAGTGGCAGGAGGAGTATACACAGCTGGTGGAGGATTATTCTGGCAGCCCAAGCACCCCTCTAAAATCTCTGTCCCAAAAGGGGATGATCGAGCACAGCTGGTGCTTCAGGGAGTATGATAAAGCCATCCTGTGGCTCTGCCACCCCCAGAAGCACCACTTTGTCCACCCTGGCCACAAAGCCTCTCCTGTGCACAGAGTGTGGCAAGAGCTATAGTTCAGAAGGGAGCTTCAAGACCCATGGGTTGGCCCACGGGGCTGTGTGGCCATTCCAGTGCACCCAGTGTAACAAGGTTTGCTGCCCCAGAGGAGAGCTGCAGGAGCACCAGGCCCTGCACACTGGCCAGCACCCCTTGTCCTGCCAGCAGTGTGGCAAGGCCTTTGCATGCTGGCTCTCTTTCTATATGCACAGGGAGATCCATTTGGCTGCTGGGACTGGCCCAGCTGGTCCCAAGGGGTGCCAGTGTGCCATATGTGGGTGTCACCTGGCCAACTCCAGCTCCTTGTGCAACCACATGTGCTTGCACATGGGGTAGTGCACTTTCACCTGCAAGCAGTGCGGCAAGTCCTACACCCTGGCCACTAAGCTGCGGTGCTATCAGAAATCCCACCTGGCTGGCAAGCCCTGCAAATGTGAGCTCTGTGGCATGGGCTATGCCCTTCCCCAGAGCCTTGTGCACCATGTGCTCACCCACAAGGTGGTAAAAGAACTTTGAGGAACTCGCCACTACAGTGGCCTCAGTTGCTGTGGGCCTACCTCAGGCAGCAAGAAAGAAGCCACAGAGAAAGGGCCAGCTGGGGGGGCTTGTAGCAGGGCTCACCCTGCTCGTGGTGGAGGTGCTGAGGCCAGTGAGTGAGGCTGAGCTGTTGATCACAGCCAGCACTCACTGCATTGCTACTTACCAGTCTAAAGGCAGATCCCAGATCCTGGGGCACATGGGACAAAAGCTATGTGTCCATCAGCAAATGATATAATCAAAATCATCCTCTCTGAGCTTGAGGACAGATGCATTTTGGTGCAGGATGAGGCCTCACTGAGTGATGTGGCCATCATCCAGGAAGGGATGGGCTTCAGGAGACATGGCAGAAGTGGTAGAGGTCCAGACTGATACCTGGCTGTCCCAACATGCCCTGGCTGGTCTTCTGTACTTATGAAAACAAAGGTAAAAAACCAAAATAAAACCTAGCTCTCTCATCTCTCTGTTAGCAACAAGGCCCTGTGGTTCAGCACCAGGCAGAATTAGCAGTCTTGGGGTTAACTGCCTGTATAAACTTGGGTCTTTGCAGTAGCTGCTCATTGGAGCTATGAGCCTACACATGCCACATGCTGGGCCTGGCACAGGGAAGGCATTGGCTGTTGATGGGAATAACTTCCTAGAGAAGACACAGCATTAATGAGCAGTGCTTCTGTTCTGCCTGTGTTACATTGTCAGTCAGTGACAGTGCACTGTGGGGAAGGCAGGAAAAGTCTCAAAGCAGTGACTTTGAACAGTGCCTTCCTTTCAAGTTTTTTAATTACTTGCTGCTATTCAAGCACTTTCCTGGGCTTTTACTCTTGGAGCTAAGCAACGCTTCTGATCATTTGAAGCTCATGCTGGTGCCAGACATTACTGGTAAGCAGCTTTCCAAGTGTTTACAAGGTAGCTTGTAATATTAAGAGCATTTTTCACAATTAGCAGAAGCAAAGTCCTGCCTTGGAGCTAGGGCTGAATGTTCCTTCTCTGCTGTCACCTGGTTTGCTTGCTGTCAGTTTCTTTTGCTTATGGTGACTAGTTAGTCTATCTGAGGACATGAAAAGGAGAGTTTTGTGTCTCACTGTGCAATTTTCAATGTCCCCAGCTGAAAGGCTCCTCACCTCTCCACATAAAGGTTGACTAGTTCATCCCTGCTCAGAAGATTGTCCATTTCCTCTCCACATTCATACTGGGTTCAATAATTTTTTTCCTTGTTTCTCTTCACACATTCTTGCTTCCTCTCTTCCCCTTCTCTCCTACCCCTGCACCAAAACATTAAAAGACAGCACTGCCAGAACTACATCCCAATATCCCCACTGCTGCATCTTCTTTAGTCCCTGTTTGCCAACTGAGGCATGCTGACGTTAATTAGTCCTGTTGCAGGAATGAAGTGCACAGCTATGTGAACTTGACCTCCTAGGAAGAGTTGACAATGCCAGACCTAACAGGTCTTTCAGACTTTCCTGCTCTGCACTCTTTCCATGTTATAGGAACACCACTTTGATTTGCTGAATCCTCAGTTTTAGCTATTTTTGCTCTCTGTTTTATGCCTCTCAAACATCTGCAATTCCTCTATTTTTTTTATTTAGTCTTGCTTAGTGGCTTTAAATTCTCTGAGTTTCTTATGCCCACTGCACAAGGCACCAGGGAATCATAAGTAGTATAGTTCCCTTTTGGGGTGCTATGAATGCAGTTATGTGACACTCCTAAAAGCTGCGCTTTGTGGTTTAAATTTTTTTTCATTAACTTTTATGACATGTTTGCAGACAAGGTGCTAGAGTGAGATCCATGACACTTTGATGTGATGTAAAGATGGAAGGTGAATTCAGTTGATAAACCTTTGGGTGTCCTAATTTTTAATTATTTTCTCTATAGGGGCATGTGAGCTAAGTATTCCCTGAGTGCTTGGAGCACATGCATGTGAGGGGGCTTGTATTTGAAGGTGCAGTGCTTCCTACTGTTCTCTCTTTGGTGCCTATCCAAACTCAAATATTGACACAGCTGCGGAATGTTCTCACTGGAGCTGGGCTCATGTGCTGTGTTTGAAGTGTGTGCCCTCTGTCACAGCAGAATTGGGAGAGAAGGGGGAGCAATGGGGGAAAGGGGCAGGGAGAACCCAGACCCCTATTGCCTAAATAGCTGACCTGCTTCTTTATCCCAAGGTAACAGGAGAGAAGTAGAAGGAGCAATTATGAATTAGGAAGTCTTCACAGAAACATTGTTCACCTGACTGTTGATCTGAGTAGGGGGGAGCATGTCTGTGCCTTGCTGCACGTATCACTTGGCTGCAAGATAAACTTATCTGGCTAATTCTGAGGAGAGGAGGTGATTCACCAGGAGGTGATTCCCATGGGCCCCTGGTAGTGATGCCACCACCATGTCTTTGTCTTAGAAGCAGCATGTTCTCATGTGAACAACCTTTTTCTTGACAGCAAAATGATGCATAAATCTGTTTACTCCTAGGAAATTCTATAAAAGCACTGAAGACCATGGTGCTGGTGAACCTCAGCATGGATAGGATCAGTACAGGGTGCTGTGGCCTGACTGGATAGCTGTGCAGTGCTGTTTAGCTTGGTTTTTACAGCATCTGAAGGAATGTGGGATTATCTAATGCCATACCCTTTCTTGTATTATGTCCAGTAAATGGTATTTTAATGACTACATTGTAGGCTCTGAGTGCCTTTTTTATTGGAATCCATAACAAGCCCTCATGCCAGTGCATTACATTTGGTGCAGTTGTCAGGACGCTGGTGAGAAGGGGGGAAGGATAGCAAGGAGAAGGATGTGTGCCTGCCTGATGCCATATGCTGGCATGGGGAGCAGTTACACAGCATGCTGCCTTTCGGTGCCAGTGAGGGTTAAGTTTTGGGACAGCAGACACGTGGATTGCCCAGCTGGCTGGAGATCTTGTGCACCCATTACCAGTACAGGCTCAAGCAGCGAGCACACAGCTCTGCTGGGTAATGAAGTCCACCATGCTGGCAGGGCTTCACCAAAGCTTTGGGGTGCTGCTGCAACACTCCTGGGTGACAAGTGCCAAGATCTTTTGGATGATTGGGGTCCTTCCTGCTGGCAGGGTGACACCAGGTGTCAGGCATGCACACAAGTGTTACATTTAAATCTCACACCACAGTCAGGGTTCAATCTCTAGCCAACTTGTAAACTGGCTTAAACCTGACCAAGATGTTTGAATGAAAAGGAACAGGCTGCAAGGGAAGGAGACCCCATCTGGCAGCTCCCTGGCCCTCAGGGACAGGGGAACCCCTGTGTGAAGGGATAAGGGTTTCATCTTTGTGATTGTATCCAAGGTGTTGCT